CAGTTTCTTTTTGGAGTCATATTGTCTCTGTCAGGGGTTCAATACTGGTGATTTAGAAAACCCTAAGTCTCCCATTTAGAAAACCTGATCAAATTTCGTTTGGCACGGACAAATTATAACAAATGAAGGAGTAAGCTGGTTGCCTCACCCTGCTTATGACCTAGACGTTGCGTCAACTAACAGAGCCTCGCAGCTACGGAAATTGGCGTATTAGTTTGAACGTATTAGTGTTTTCCATTTAAGCTTTGTTGTAGATCGAATTTCCTCAGGATTTCATTAACAAAAAGCCTGATTAAACAGATAGCAACTGGTCTCACACTGTTTATAACCCTGACGTTGCGCTAACGACAAAAGCTACGTACATAAAAAGAAAATGTGCCAATTATGCTGAAGTATTAGTGTTTTGCACTTAAGCTATGTTGCAGATAGAATTTACTCTGAATTTCATTAAAAAAACCTTAATCAGTTCTGGAAGAGTTGAGAGTGACTGGACCACCCTGCTTACACCCTAAACGTTGCCCAACGACCAGTGCTAAACCAGAGAATTACCAGTTAGGTGGGATTTATTAGTGTTTTGCATTTAAGCTTTGTTGCAGATCGAATTTCCGCTGGATTTCATTAGAAAAGCTTAATTAATTCTGGATGAGTTGAGAGTGACTGGACCACCCTGCTTATAACCTAAACGTTGCCCAACGACCACGTGCTAAACCAGAGAATTACCAGTTAGGTGGAATGTATTAATGTTTTGTATTTAAGCTTTGTTACATATCGAATTTCCTCTGGATTTCACTAAAGAAGCTTAATAGTTCTGGATGAGTTGAGAGTGACTGGACCACCCTGCTTATAACCTAAACGTTGTCCAACGACCACGTGCTAAACCAGAGAATTACCAGTTAGGTGGAATGTATTAATGTTTTATATTTAAGCTTTGTTGCAGATCGAATTTCCTCAGCATTTCATTATCAAAAAGCCTGATTAGTTATAGATTAATAGATAGCAACTGGTCTCACCCTGTTTATAACCCTGAAGTTGCGCTAACGTCCATAGCCGCGTAGATAAAAAGAAAAGATGCCAATTATGCTGAAGTATTAGTGTTTTGCACTTAAGCTTTGTTGCAGATTGAATTTACTCTGAATTAAAAAAAAGCTTAATTAATTCTGGATGAGTAGTGACTGGACCAACCTGCTTATAACCTAGACGTTGCCCCAACGACCACGTGCTAAACCAGAGAATTACCGGTTAGGTTGAAAGTATAAGTGTTTCGAGATGTTTTGCATGCTGAGCTTTTCCTGATTTAATTTCTGCCTCACCCTGCTGATAAGAATATACTCTAGATTTTATTCTAAAAAACTTGATAAATTTTACATCAATGAATAGCGGACCTTTGGGCCTAATTGCCTAATTTTGCGTCAGTCTGTGAAAAGTGGGTTTTTTTATTTATACAATTGTTCAAATAATATTAAAAATTATGAATCTATAATATCGCAAATGAGTGATGCGTTTATTTGTCCCACTGATTGTTGTTTGTCGAGCTAAAAATGGAATTTTTACAATGGAAAATTACAAATGATGCATTGTTCAGTCCGAAATAATTTCCATGGGAAAAATATCGTTGTTTATTTATTTTTTGGCGATAATAACTTTTTATTATAAGCATCAAAAAGTGATATTGTCAGGGATAGTTGAGCGCTTATAAATAAACTCCAAGGCAGGTGTTATTTTAAGACTTCAGTTTTGCTTTCTATGATTCAAAATTTGTTTAAAAAAGGGATTCCTGTTTTAAGATCAAGACAATTTTTCTTAATTAAATTCCTATATTAAACTATTATACAGATGCTTTATTGCACATTGAAAATACTAAGCCCTAAGTTTCTGCCATTTTTAAAACAAAAAATCGTCGAGTTTAAAAGTGTTAAGAAAACGGATTATCGGCCCGTTTAGGTAGAAACCAACTTGAAAAATCAAGCCAAACTACATCGTTGACTTTGTTTTAAAGTAAAGGGTGGCGTAGTGAACTTTAAACTTGAAACGTTATCGGTGTGCGTCAGGTTAGACATTATGCACGGCGATGTCGATAGGCAATTACCGATTTTTATCTATTTGACCCTATCTGATATATACGGATATCTCTTATCCGTACCATATGCCACTTATCCAAGTGTTCGTTTATCCCAAGAGACTTTCTATTTATCATAATCCTTCTTTTATGTTCACACTTAAAACTTTTCAAACATAAATAATTCGTTGAATCATCAGTTCGTTCTGGCTTAAGTTAATGTTTAAACCAATATTCCGTTGATTAAAACACATGAAATTTGATTTAATACTGAGCAGAAATATCACCTGCGGGTGAATGCTTCTTTTAAATTTCTAATGCACGAAATGTGTTGACGTACGCTAAAAAGAAAAGGGGACCTAACACGGAGCCGTGTGGAACCACATTGTATATCTTTATACAAATTTGCTTCTTTTTTTTTACAAAGCATTTTTGGAATTGAAAGAACAAGATTCAATGGTCATGTCTATAGGTCGAAGATTTTTTGGTTGGTTCAGTGTTTTATTGAGGAAAAATTGGTATGTCTAAGATGCCGTGAAGGTCTGTAATTTTGCAAAAGATAAGCTAAGAATCTTTGTGAAAGAATTTTACAGACCCTTGCCCAAATCGGTGTACAGTCGTATTAATTATTTACGTTTAGCCTACTTTAATTGTACCAATGGGTTTTGTCAGTTTTGGAGGGTCTTTTATTAACTTCTGTGTTTTAGGGGTTGTCTTTTTTGAACCCTTTCTGAGATGGAGGATTCTTTGTTTTTTTTTGTCGCCCAACTATAAGTTCAGGTTCATCATCTTCTGGCCAGTTTATAATATTTTTCCGAAATGGTTGAAAGCTTTCTGGAAAATAAGATGGGGCAAAAGTTTAACTCTAGAAAAACTTTGGCATGCTAATCACTTCGAAACAATAATACATACTTTCAACCTAACAGGCAATTCTCTGGTTTAGCTACGTTGCTCTAGTAATTGACGCAACGTCTAGGTTTTAAGCCGGGTGAGTCGAGTTACTATCTATTCGGCTAGGAATAATCAGGCTTTTCGAATGAAATCCAGAGGTCAAAATGTAAAACACCCTAACTTGCATTCTCTGATTTAACTATTTAACTCTAGTCGATGGCACATCTAGCTTATACGCACGGTGTAGCCAGTTGCTATCTTTCATCTATTACTAATCAAACTTTTTTAATTAAAACTAACAGGAAATTAAACCAGCATCAAAACGCGAATATTTCCAACATAATTGGCTATGATTTAGCTACGTTGCTTTGGAATCGAATAAGCAGGGTGAGGCCAGTTATTCTCTGCCTTAGCTTCGTGGCTCTGGTCGTTGGCGCAAGGTCTGGGTTATAAGCAGGGTGAGGCCAGTTGCTCTCTGGCTTAGCTTCGTGACTCTGGTCGTTAGCGCAAGGTCTGGGTTATAAGCAGGGTGAATCCAGTTGCTCTTGGCTTAGCTTCGTGGCTCTGGTCGTTGGCGCAAGGTCTGGTTTATAAGCAGGGTGAGGCCAGTTATTCTCTGCCTTAGTTTCGTGACTCTGGTCATTGGCGCAAGGTCTGGGTTATAAGCAGGGGGAGGCCAGTTGCTCTTGGCTTAGCTTTGTGGCTCTGGTCGATGGCGCAAGGTTTGGGTTATAAGCAGGGTGAGGCCAGATGCTCTCTGGCTTAGCTTCGTGGCTCTGGTCGTTGGCGCAAGGTCTGGGTTATAAGCAGGGTGAATCCAGTTGCTCTTGGCTTAGCTTCGTGGCTCTGGTCGTTGGCGCAAGGTCTGGGTTATAAGCAGGGTGAGTCTAGTTGCACTTTAGCTTAGCTTTGTGGCTCTGGTCGATGGCGCAAGGTCTGGGTTATAAGCAGGGGGAGGCCAGTTGCTCTTGGCTTAGCTTTGTGGCTCTGGTCGATGGCGCAAGGTTTGGGTTATAAGCAGGGTGAGGCCAGTTGCTCTTGGCTTAGCTTCGTGGCTCTGGTCGTTGGCGCAAGGTCTGCGTTATAAGCAGAGTGAGTCTAGTTGTACTCTAGCTTAGCTTCAGGCAAAATTCCGTTTTACCTACGTGGCTGTAGTCGATTGCACAACGTCTGGGATAAAAGCAGGTTGGGAAAATATCTTATGCTCCCCTTTGGACTAATTTTGACCGTGCGGGACTCAAATTTGACCAGTTTTTTTAGTAGGAGGATTAAGGTGGCGTTTGAAGTCCCCAATCGTGACAAATAGTGTTCGTTTAAACTTTCCACTAATTATTGCGTTCGAAAGGTAATATTTCTGTCATATAAGCAGGGTGAGGCGAAAATGAAATCTGAAAAAAAAAGCTCAAAATGAAAAACTATAGTACTTCCAATATAACAGGCAATTCTCTGGCTTTGTTATTAGAACAACGTATGGGTTATAAGCAGGGTAAGGACAAAAGCTTGTGCCATCAGTTGTTAGAAATTTGAAAAGAAAGTTTTATCGTGATATTTTTTTAAACAAAAATAAGACTGATTTTAGGGATTAAAGAGCAGAAAGGTGCTTAGTACTATGCTATCCAACCTAAAGAAAAGGACGTAAATAACAGATAGAATTTTCTTTTTTTAACGAAAGATAAATAATAGATTATGTTTCTAAGAAAAGACAGAAAACCTCTTTTTTTTCAATTTTATTATAAGAAAATTTAGGCTATTATCTTTTCTAGCTAATTCCAATAATAAAGCTTAATCAGCCAAATATGAAACAAGTAAGAAAAACAAAAGATGAAGGAGGGGTGAGTACGTAGATTCATAGTTTTTAATGCGGTATGTTGTATATAATATATTTTTTTACAGAATTAATAAAATCTGTGAGTAGAACTATCATTTAAAAAAAGTAGATTGAATCGATTTACGTCAGTGATTTCATAGTTAGTGATTAAAATGACGCACTTTTCGCGTAGGAAATTCCTTAGGAACTATCTCAAGTTGCACTAAATCCACGTTGTGGACCCTTGGAGACTGTGGGTCGAGAAGGGATACGTCCGATCGGCGAGAGGGGAAGGAGAAAGATATAACCGAAACGGGCCACAGAAAGCGCACCAGTCCTGAAACAGGAGTGAGACGGTACGCACCGAGTCTACGCCTGCGCTCATCGACACAATCGTTTTTCGCGTCTGTTTTAAATACGAGAATAGCTTCGGAGACGGCTATGGAAACGGCGACTGAGATTTCGACGGAACTGGGCCTCCAGAGGCTCTGGGGAAGGAGGCTGACAGGAAGCAACATCCACGAGGAAGACATCGCAGGTCTTCTCGAAGAAGTTTTCCCTTCGGCTCAAGTCGAGGTAACATACATTTTTTGTCAATGAACCAATTAAAATTAAAATCTTCATTTCAGCATTTTTCAATATGAATTTTATTTAAAACTAAATAAATAAAATTTATATAATTTTATGTGGCCTAAAAAAATTCAATTTAGACTTGTTTGTACCGCGTATTTTCCATTATTTTTTTATATTTCATTAAATGATATATTATTCAATATAATATCATATACTAAACCTTTATTATATTCTTTAGTCGTTTAACAAATTTAAAAATACAAAAAAACACTCAAACCCAAATAGTTCAATAAAACAATCAGCCACGATCCGATTTTTATTTTACACAATTTTTTATATTTTTTGTTATGATTTTTGCACTATTAAATTTTTAAATTTACACTTTTATATAATAAAAAAAGAGAAATATTTTTCTCGCGACAAACCAAAGAGTTCAAGAAAATAATCATCCACGATCCAATGATTTTTATTTAACACAATTTTTGTCTTGTGTGTTGTGATTTTGAATATAATTAAATTTTTAAATTTGCACTTTAGCATTGTGTAATATATTTTATTTAAAATTAAAATAATAAAATTATATAATTTACTAGCTATAAAAAAAGTTTGCCCGATTTGGACCACATATTTACATTATTTTTATTTTGTATATTTTATAAAATGATATATTATTAAATTTGATGTTAAATAATAAATCTTTATTATATTCCTTAGTCGTATAAATTAAAAAAATAATCTTTAAAAAAATATTTTCCACGCTAAAAGTTAAATAGTTCGACAAAATATACCTTGATCTTACGATTTTTATTTCACACAATTTTTTAAACTTTTTTTGCGTGATTTTTACACTAATTACACTTTTAAATTTTGAATCTTGAAATGTACATTTTATTTAAAACTAAATAAATAAAATTGTGTGTGCTTTAAAAAATGTAAATTTCGGCCTTGTTTGGAAGTCATTATTTTTTTTATTATTAATATAAACAATGTTATATAATAAATCATTATTATATTTTTTTCATCGTATATAATAAAAAAAATAAAGAAAAATATTGTTCACGCGACAAACCAAATACTTCAAGAAAATAATCATCCACGATCCAATGATTTTTATTTTACACAATTTTTTGTCTTGTTTGTTGGGATTTTCACTATAATTAAATTTTTAAATGTGTATTTTAGCCTTTTGCAATATACATCTTATATAAAATTAAATAAATAAAAATATATAATTTATTAGCTTTAAAATGCAATGTTTTAGTTAACGATAAANTAGAGGTCGAAATATAAGAATGAAATTAATGTGTGAGGGAACTCACACCTGGTCACGGGTTTGTACCAAAATTTTTTTTAAAATTCTTCATTCCAAAATATCTTCTTGAGAACAGGCCCTAGTTTAGCCAACAATTTTTTTTGAAAATTAATTAACCTTTTTATGTAAGGTATTGGTTGAAATGAAAAAGTCAAATATTTCAAGAAAATAATCATCCACGATCCACTGATTTTTATTTTACACAAATTTTTTCTTGTTTGTTGTGATTTTCACTATAATTAAATTTTTAAATGTGTATTTTAGCATTTTACAATATACATCTTATAATGAAATTAAACTTATAATTTTTCCTTCTTGAAGGTGGGATAATAGAACATCTAAAAAAAACCACAACCAGTTTTTATCCACAACGTTTCGGATTTGTTTTAATCCTTCCTCAGGTGAGTTCCTGACCTATATCCCACCTTCAAGAAGGAAAAATCATAAGATTAACTGTTGAGGTCGAAATATAACAATGAAATTAAATAAATAAAATATATTATTTTTTAGCTTTAAAAAAATGCAATTTGGCCTTGTTTGGACTACATATTGACATTATTTTTAATGTTTTAATAAACGATAAATTCTTAAATATAATATTGTAAATAAATATATATTACAATAAATCTTGAGTTTTATGCAATAAAAAATTTAAAAAATATATTTTCCCAACAAAAAATTAAATAGTTAAACAAAATAACCATCCTGGGTTTTATGATTTTTATTTTACAAAATTACTTTTTTTCTCTTTTTTACTATGGGGTTTTGCCCACTTTTCATAAATTCGAATCAAACAAATAAATCCGATTGTAAAAAATTATTGCTCTGAAAAATTCTGGTGAATGGAGAAATTGAAATATGTGAAAGTTAAGGAAAAGGACAGTTTAGCTAATTATAATTGGAATTATTTTTACTAATCAACTTTGGCTTCGAATATGATTATTGATCAAAACTTGATTTTCAGCTTGTGCTTAATATGCTGAAAAATATCATAAAAAACATTAAAACCGCATTAGAAACACGCGATTTGACTGCCATAAATCCTCGACCCTGCCAATTACTTATTATTTAAACAATGCATTTATTGTTTTGGATGTTTATCGATCTGCAGCAAGTCTAAGTTTGTAAGTTTGGGTTATAAAATCTTATTTAAAGGTCATATCAAAACAATTTTGGGATGTGCCGAGCTTTCGGTGGTTTATTCCTTCATCACCAGAGCCTGTTTATTGGAAAAAAAAATATAAATACAGAGTAACTTAGTAGTAAGTTGTTATATTTACTTGACCCATTGAGATGAAAAGAAAAAAAATTGCGTTTATTGTTTAAATAAAAAATAAAGTTAATATTTAATCCATTTTATTTCTTGGTCTGATATACCAAATAACTTCTTTCAATTAATTGATCTTTTTATGTAAGATCTTGGTTGAAATGAAAAAGTTAGTGTCACGAGCGGGACTCGAACCCATGACCTTTGGCTCAATAGCTCTAATAGCTCAAGTGGTTAGAGCAGCGGAATATTGAGCCAAAGGTCGTGGGTTCGAATCCCGCTCGTGACGCTAAGTTTTTCATCTCAACCAAGACATTAGATATAAAGAATAATTAATTAAAATAATTAATGTGGTCAATTATGACGTTGAGTTCGTGATTTATTTCGCATAACAACATTGCAATTCAGACAATCGTACTTTTCCGTTCGGCCGAAATTCGAAATCAGCCAAATTTTATCCGGCGAGCCATGAAAAAGACCCTATTCATTTCACGATCGGTTTTGATCCGATCCTTAAAAAGAACGGTTTTTCTTATCTCTAGTCTGAACCACCTCAGGACTTTAGGCTTTACTAAAAATTAAATAAAATAAAAAGAAAGTAAATTTTGTTGATCCTGAAACCTAGAAGGTTTATGTGATTTTATTTTTATCTCTGTAAAACACATGGTTTTCTATTTCATTCAATTAATTATCTTTTTATGTAAGGTCTTGGTTGAAATGAAAACGTAAGTGTCAGGAGCGGGATTCGAACCCATATTCGCCGCCCCCAGCCGAAGGTCGTGGGTTCGAATCCCGCTCGTGATACTAACTTTTTCATTTCAAACAAGATCTTACATAAAATGGTTAATTAATATCTAATGTTTTGTTTATTAATTAATTTTTATTATGCGAACGTGCTTGAAAGCTTGAGTTATTTTAGGGAAAAGTATGTTTTTATTGAGAGGGGGGGTTTAATCTGTATGGGTAGATTAATGCTTGATTTGTTTTTAAATTTAGCATAATCCCCTGATTAATTAAAATATCCAATATGTTTTGATTTTGTCAGAACATTTTCGATCAGGACAGGATGTTTAGCCCTCCCTTCCCTCAGAAACCTGTTCTTTCCCAGACAACCCCGTTTTTTATGCTCAAAGGGGATTCGATTCATGTAAAAATATATTCCATAAAATAAAATAAAAAATCTAAAAGATTATTCGGAATAAATCTGGTTGTGGATAAAGGGCCGACCTTTGGAGTCGAGGGGCCTCGTGGAAGTATTGATCTTCTCGTGGATCCAACCTCCGCTTGTCAGATCCCTTTTCTCCCTGAAAACCTTTCAAATAATACCACATAAAAAATGTTGATTTTTAACATTCTGATTAGGCAAGACTTGTTTAATTTTGTTTAAGACGTAATTAATTCTCGATTTGAACTTCCGGAAAAAAAATCCATCAGATTCTTCCAGTTGATACTGGGGCAATTTAAATTTGTGGTGAGAAAAGATGGGGAAAAAAGACCGTTTAACCACCCAAGGACGTGGTTCAGAGGGGTTTCACATGATTGCTATTAATTTTGCAAGGCTTCTTAAGGGTGTTCTAGTTTATTGTCCGGTTCTACCGAGTCGAGATCGATTTTTTAAAAATATAAACCAAATTAAAAAAAAAAAAAATATTTGTCCTATAAGAAATGTAAAACCGAGACGATAAAAATCTATTAGAGGCTCCTTCTAAGATAAACATGAAAATTCTGATGTCTGGCAGATTCTTATCTCTTACTTTCTCATAATGATTAGTCAGACTGTTTTATTTATTTATTTTAAAAAAAATCGATGTTTTATTTTTGTCCTAAAGTTCCGTTTACTTTTTGAGTAAATAAACAAACGCTAAGGAATAAACACGCGCTTTTTCCGGGAGGGAACGAGGAAATTTCATTTCAAAAAATAACAGCATTTGAAAACACAATTTTATTTGATCGATCATCCTTTTTTTGTATCAATTTCTATTCCTCTTTTAAATAGCGCAAACCGAAATGTTTCGCAAAAATATAAAAACAGATTAAAATAACACGGCAAAAAGATATGCTAAACCTTCAACGCATTCATGCCAGCATTAACAGGAAAAAAGGAATATTTTTACAATACATTCCAATCAGTATCATTTTATACAATGATAAAGATGACATGAAAATTGATTTTTTTAAAATTAGGCTATCTAATTCCTTTTTTTTTTTAAACATTCTATCATAGTTAAATTTGATTGTTCAATGATAAATAGTACAATGTACAAGTAAACTGAAATATTTTGTTAAAAAATTGCTTAATTTATCCTAATATCAAGGTTTCTTATTGTAATGATAAAACGCGATAGTTCTAACAAAACAGAATTTAAGTAGGAAGTTTAAAATGGCTGAAGCCTCTCCATTTTGACCAATTATCATTTGTTTGCTTACTCTCAAGAATATTTATTAAGCTTGAAAGCTATTTCTAGTATAAAAGCAGAGTAAGGCAAAAATTAATTCTAGAAAAAGTTCAGAATGCAAAACCTATTTCAAATTTAATTACCAAGTCTCAGGTTTAGCTATGTAGCTCTGGTCGTTGGAACATCCAGTTGAACAATGGCTGGGTTATAAGTAGTGCAAGTCTCTTTAAACTTATGTATAACCTAACAAGCTTTTTGGAATGAAAGTCAGAATAACTTCCGTCTGTGACAAGCTTAAAATGCAAAACACTTTCACATAACTGACCAATCCCTGGTTTAGCCATGCGGCTCTATGGTTCACAAGCAACAAGCTCATGCTCATTTGTACCAATTTTGGCCAGAATTTCTAAGTAAGAGGCTTAAGATGGTGTTTGGAGCCCACATCATGGCCATGCTTAGCCTGGTCAAATTTGTTCTAATTTTTAATAAAAATCGAGCTTGAAAGCTACTAACTGCCTAGCAGTGAGGCTAAAATTAAATCTGCGAAAAGCTTCCCATGCAAAAACCTCAATACAATTTTAACAAATCTCTGGTTTAACCACTTGACTCTGGTCATTGGTGCAACGTCTAGGTAATAAGCTGGGTGAGGTAGGTTAAGACCTTATGCCTTAATTTGGACCAATTTTGATGGTGTCAAATCATAATTTGACAAGAAGTTTTATGTAGGAGGCTTAAGATGACATTTGAAGACCTCATCTGACCAATAATTAATTTACAAATGTTTGTTTCAACTTTGCCAAAATTCTTGAGCTTGAGATTTAATATTTCCAACATATACACAGGGTGAGGGAAAAATTAAGTATAGAAAAAAAAAATAATCAGAATACAAAACAATTTTGCAACACTAATAATTTTAATATAATTCAACTTGTTTGGCAATTCACTAGTTTAGCAATGTTGCTCTAGTTGTTGGAGCAGTTGGAACAACGTTTAGGATATAAGCAGGGTGAGGCATAAACCTTATGACATGATTTGAATGAAGAAATGAAAAAATTGATTTTTTTTGTCTTTAAAAAGTTTATAATACATAGGAATGTTTCCAACTTTTTTTGGTTGTTTTCTTAACTTTCTAGAAATTCAAAAATAAAAATAAATTATAGTATTAAAAATTAGGTAAATGGTTTTGGTAAAAAAAAATTAATTTATCTTAACAATACTGTCCAAGGATACTTTTTGTTATTGTTCTACAGGAGGACAAATTTTATAAATATTCATCAGCGATGTCAATAGCCGTAAGGCATACTATTTTAAAGACTTCGATTAATAATAAATTAATTAAAATTTATCTACCAAGTAAGTTTTTCGGTCGGAGCAGATAATGTCTTTATCAGTACAGATGGCTGAGATTATCCTCCATTTTCCTAAAAATGGCTTGATTAGATATTGCTAAGCTCTTTTTCAAAACAAACCCCCTGCAACAGTCTGAAAGTCTCAAAAATCTATACAACAGAGAAATCACAAAAAGAAATTTTTTTACTAGAATTGAATTTTGAACAAACGAGCGTTAAAATTTTTTGGCAATCTTTTAGAATGCTAATGTTCGCAGATAGCATAGATAATAATGTATAAAAATTTTTTATAATATAATTCTAATCAAATCTGTTATTTTAATATATACATATAACATTAATATTGTTATTCTAGGTTGAACCTGATGTTAAAAGCCGTCCATGTAGTCCTGTTCCTCCTTTTAATGAAGACAGGGACTTCTGCCAGGTAATTTTTTTTTTTAACTTGTGAAAATAAAGTTAAAGTTATAGTATAGAAGATTTCAATCCAGATATAGAAGATTTCTAATAATAAGGTGATAAACAAACCAAAACAAAGTTCTGTCTCTGTGCCAAGGTCCGAGATATTTTAGCATTGGAACACCTTAGTGGGAGTTGCAATTGTTTAAGGTGGTACAATGCAAGCAGATGAAGGAAGCATATTTTTTAACATATCTCTTTTAATCAAAAATATTTTCACTTGTAAATTATTTAATCTGATCAATTCAAAAAAAGTCCGTGTATTTTTGTGTCTTTTTAAAAAAGATTTATTATTAAAGCTGTTCGTTGCAGGATTTCACTCAGCAAACTTACACTCCAAAATGCAAAACTGAATGCTTCTGTTCATCCGAAGTCAAGTCATTTAAATTAGACGGATCCACAATCGGAGACATTCCAGCGATATATAAAATTCAGAATATTCTCAAACATGAGTTTCCAGCGATGGGGATCTTCGTTGACCCAAGGGTCGTCCCAGGATTTAAATACAGAGTTCGGCCTATACAAGAGGTATATTTTTTGTTATAATGTAAATAAAATTGAATAATTAATTTTTTTTAAATAATAGAATGGCTGTAAAATAAAATGGCTTTTCAACGGCCGAGCTTTAGAACTTCAGTCAATCGGCAGAGGCTATTCGAGAAGGATCACGTTCAAAGCCGACAAGGGAAATCTGAACGACAACGAGTTTTATTTCTGGGCCGACTCGCATGCAGAAGGATTTGCTTTTGAAATTGAAGTAGTCTCCCCGGGCGACAAATTCACCGTGTTCGACGCCAACCGAGTCGCCGTGGGAACACTTGAAGTCTTGAGCAATCAGGTAAATATTCGAGTTCTTATTGTAATTTTAAAGAAAAAAAGAGGTAATGTCTTGCTTTCATGGAAATTTGTCTTTTTTTGTCCGTTCTTGTGTCTGACACAACTGTCTTTGTTTTTTGTACGTTTTGCTATTTGGGGTATCATATCATTTCAATTTTATTTTTGTTTTATCAAATGCATTTTCCATAAATCATTCATAAGTAAAAATTCATCTCACATTTTTATTTTATTTTATAAACTTAACATATTTACACATCACACAGGAATTTTCTTAGAAAAACATATTTATAAGAAAAAATAATTATACAAAAATTAGAACTATATAGAGGAATGTTTTATTATTTTTACTAAGAGAATTCCAGAGGTCAAATAGGTTTGATTTAAATGCAATAAGATTATTATTTTATGAAAAAAAAATATTGGTGAAAATATTGGCGAAATATTTTGTATTTCCTTAAACGTTGGAGATTGTACAATGAAGATAATTTTCAACTGTGCTATTTCTGTATTCCATTTTTTCATAATCTTGTGTTTTAATAAAGACATTTATTTTTATTACATTTTGATTTTTGTAATTGACATTTGGCTGCAATCAAAGTTTGGTATGTTTTTTTTTTCCAATTGACTCGGTATGACTGATTCATATTGGAAATGAAAAAGAGATTTGAGAACTTTGGTTTAAAACTTTATAATAGCAAGAAACAATAGAATTGGAATAATAAGAATAGCACAGTCGAATTTTAAATAACTTCATTTTAAAAATCCCCTAAACTTTTAACGAAATTCAATTTTTCAATTCAACATTCAGTAAAATTTAATTGAATGTCTGAGGTGAACAGAAAATACAGGAAAATTGTCTTAAAATAAGAAATATTTATAAATAAATCTTAATGAGATTTTTCATAAATTGCGCCAAAGAGATATAATTTGATCAGATTTCATTAAATTTTAAGGCATAATTTTCCTTTGTTTTATGCTCAAATAACTTCAGTGCATAATTTAAAAAAAAATTTATTAAACTGTACTTAAAGAAAGCCTATTTCACCTACAAAAACACACTTACACTTTTCACAAGTTTCATTTGGGCCAGGACGCCCACGTACAGACGAAAAAACGTCAATTTTTGAGAACTTAGGTAGGGTACTTGGCTTGATTTTTTTTCCCTTTAATGTGGGATCACTTGGCGAAAATGTGTTGAGATTAGATGATTAGAAGCTGTCATTCGGAGGATGGATTCTTTCTGACTGATGAAGACAATGATGCTGAGGGAAGCTGCGACGCGCCACTTCACCTCTCAGAGCCTGACCCACAACCTGGCAACCCAAACCATGACTCAGGTTGACCAAGGTACCCATCGAACAACCTTTACCCTCAACTTTTTACAATGTTTGTTCATTATCCATCAAATCCTGGCATATGTCATTGTATTGCATGCACAAAATTCTGCTTTCATTCCTAATATAAAACAAAACTGTACGAGCCATTATTATCATTTACTTTAACAATTAAATTAGTTTCATTTTACCATACTGCAGCCTTGTATATATGTTCAAACATCAATAAAGCATGACCTGAAGGGGAACAATAGAGTTTAAAACGTAATATGAACATAACACATATGCCAGCATTTGGTTGCATTTTGAAAGCAACACTCATTTTAACTTAATAATTTCTTTAAGGTAAGTTATATACAGCAAGTGTTATTAAATGTAAATTTATTGCAAAATAATTAAAAAAAAAAAAAACAGGAAAATTTTACAGTAGTTAAAATGTTTTCTGCTAAACCTTTAAAAGAACTGAAAGTTAATTTTTTAAAATTTTTTGTTAACAGAGTCCGCAAGAGGAACTGGGACATAGAATACTGGGCAGCGGTTGCGTAGAAAAAACTGTGAAAGTCAGAGCTCTTGTCAAAGTCGAATGGTACGAAGATGACAACAGTGATTTAATAGTTCCTGTAAGTATATAGAAATTTAAGCGTTACTACAAAAATGTTTGTATTAGAATTTCACTTATATACCATACATTTCACAACAAACACAAACCAGGCATACAAATGTCACTAGGGAAGTCTACTCAAACAGAATTTGTAAAAAAAATCAAATTCAAAGAATACCAACTCTCAAGAAGGTGTTTGAAACTCTAATCTTGCCCAATAATTAATTCAGAAGAGTTTGCTTGAATTTTTTAATAATTTTTTGCTTGAACCATACTATTTCTGGCATATAAGCAGGTTGAGACCACAATTAAATCTAGAGAAAGCACAGAATGCAAAACACCTTGAAAAACCAATTATTTCAACATAATTGGCGAATCTCTTGTTTAGCCACACGGCTCTAGTCGTTGGAGCAAAATAGGGATATAAGCAGGGTGTAGCAACAAGTTTACACCTTCGTTTGTACCAATTTTGACCGTACCCCACAAGAAGTTGACCAGATTTTATAAGCAGGAGGCTTAATACGACATTTAAAGCTCTAATCTTGGCCAATAATTAATTCAGAAGAGTTTGCTTGAATTTTTTAATAATTTTTTGCTTGAACCATCCTATTTCTGGCATATAAGCAGGTTGAGACCACAATTAAATCTAGAGAAAGCACAGAACGCAAATCACCTTGAAAAACCAATTATTTCAATTTAATTGGCAAATCTCTTGTTTTGCCACATGGCTTTAGTCATTGGAGCAAAATAGGGATATAAGCAGGGTGTAGCAACAAGTTTACACCTTCGTTTGTACCAATTTTGACTGTATCACACAAAAGTTGACCAGATTTTATTAGCAGGAGGTTTAATACGACATTTAAAGCTCTAATTTTGGTCAATAATTAATTCAGAAGAATTTGCTTGAATTTTTCTTGCTTGAAAGATACTATTTCTGGCATATAAGCAGGTTGAGACCACAATTAAATCTAGAGGAAGCACAGAATGCAAAACTCCTTGAAATGCTAATAATTTTAATATAATTGGCAATTCACTGGTTTAACTCTAGCCCTAGTTGTATGAGCAATGTACGGGTATAAGCAGGGCGAGGCAAAAATTTCATGATATGATTTGAATGATAAAAAAAAATTATCAATTTTTTTTAAACAAGTTTAATGGCAGCTAATATGTTTTACAGCTTTTTACGGTTGTTTCCTTAACTTTCTAGAAATCCAACAATAAAAAGATAGTACCATAGTACTAGTAAAAGAGGGAAGAATACCTAATCTACCTAAACTGAATTTGGAAAAATTAAATTCAAAGTACATGTTTTTGTGTCGAAAGAAAAGTTATGTAAAAATTATTATAATGCAGAACATTTCAAATAAGTTTTGGTCGGAATTTAAAAAGATCAGCATGCCAGATTCTTCCTGCTGGAAGAAATCTCTAAAAATATCAGAACAGAATGCTTCAGGACTTGTTCATGTTTTTTTTCCAAAAAGAAGTTAAATTTACAAAATAAACAAAATTTTAAATCTTCTTATTAATCTGATTAAGACATATGCATGATATGAATTAAGCCTGAATATATTTACAGATGACTGGAGTGGCTGTAAGCATTAAAAGCAAACAAGGATGCAGGACGAAATTGATTGGTGTCACTGTTGGAAGTCACCCAAGGAGAGGGTTTACACTTAGGCCGGGAATAGACAGCCGTTTGAGATTGATTCGTGTACGAGGAACTTCAATCTCTGATGTGCCAACAACATATACTGTCGCCGGTCTAGATGCTCATCAACTTCCAGTTATTGGTATGTTAATCTTGAGCATTTTAAAAAATTATATATATTTATTATTTTTGTCTTTTAGGTACTTATGTTGACCCAAGGATTATACCGGGTTTTCATTACCGTGTAATACCAGCAGCAGGAAAGAGAAGACCATTGTTTGGCGGGCGACCACTAAAGTTGGTCTCTATTGGCATGGGGTATGGTAAAAGAATCACATTTGCTCCAGATTCACTCAACTCGTCTGAAAATTTCTTCTGGAGCGATTCCCACCCGGATGGATTCGGATTTGAGCCTAGTGCGGTACGAGCTGGTATGAAATTCAATATTTACGCAGGAGAACTACGCTTAGGAGAAGCGAATGTCTTCAGAGCTGATACTCCTCAAGAAGAAAAACACATGGAACTGGTAAAAAATAATTAATTACATTTCTTTGTTTGATTATAACTCTTAATTAAAATTCTTTACAGGTCAAAGAAGAAAATGGAAAAACTACAATTATAAAGCATATTCACGTTGATTTGACTTGCCACGTCACGCTAGACACAAGATACGACAAATCTCCAGAGCCTCACATTATGAGAATCTCCGGAAACACTATACTTTCAAAACCGGCAGGATGTTCTGAAGCGGAAATACTCAGGATAGAAAACATCGGTCTAGACTCTCAGCTTAATATTCTATTCACTACGCAATGGGACGAGTTAGTCTTCACTCCTGTTTAAGACTTATTGTAAATTAACATTTTAATTTATTGCACTAGAGTTTATTTTTACAAGACTTATTTTATAAACTTCTAAGGTGTATGTCCATGTAAAAAATTGGCTTTTGAGAGCCCAATGTATTTTAAACACTGGCCATGTAGATTGTGTGGCAGCAGTATTTCTATTTGATATTCATAATTCATAAGATTTTATGAAAATTATACTTTTTTTATAATAAGCAACTAATAAAATCTTATTGACATATATTGTTTTATAATATATCATTTTAGTGAATTTAAGTCTTTTGAAATTGATCCTCGAGTTCTGTAAGATGAAGTACCTGAAATCCTTCAGCTAGGATGCCCCATACTGTTTTCTATATTTCTGTATGTTCTCTGTCACGTTCTAGAGGATGGGGTGCATATTGGAGGTATTAAAATAAAAATATTACTGTACGCAAATACTAAAATATTAAAGTTGCCAGATCACTACTAAAAATCACTGGCCTAGAAGTTAACAAGCAAGAATCTGGTCCAAGATTTTTTTTTTTTCATAGGTATACTTTTACCTTTTCATAATCTGAACAGCATTTTTTCCTCGGAATCACAATTGACTGACAAAATGAACGTATCAAAGCTCCAAAAAGCTTGACAAGTTTCTACATTTGAGCTCTTATGAAAAATAATAATGGTAAAAATACAGAATTACTAATCTAAGTTTTTCAAGCTTAGTTGGCTTTTTAGATAAAGAATGAATCTAGTTTTTAAACTTTAAGCCATGGCTGCTAAACTTACAAAAGACAGAAATGCCCGTTGTGTTCTAAAATAAAAGTTTACAAAGGCATATAAGGACAGTTGTCACTTATGGAGCTCAGATGAGGTTATTCAAAAACTTTCGAAAGTATTTCCTCAAAAAACGGTTTAGTTTGTTACCTGTCATGCCTTACTATACGTTTAGAAACAGCAATTTTGTAAACCTTCTAGCTTTACCTAAAATACTGCCTGAAAATCCTTGCTGGACCACCGTTTATTAGAAATCACTGCCCTAAAAATTATCTTAAAAAAAACTCCGATTCAAGCAATGGATTTCTTTGTGTATCTTTCGACTATTTACAGTCATGTTTGGTTACTAAGACAAACAGAGGAGAAAAGCAATGAGTAGGCCAATAAATTAGTCAAGGAAAGTTTGATGAGGAGCCTATCTGCCCTGAACATTTTTGTGGCATACCAAATTGTCAAAAAGTTAGATTCACCAGACAAAATATCGTTCTGACTTTTTAGAGTCTTGTTTGATTACTAGGGCACACAGGGCAGAGGAGCAACAAGACAGTTGATAAATTAGTCAAGGAAAGTTTGATGAGGACCCTGAATTCTTTCGTAAATTCATCGGACAGTTGGCTAAGAATAAGTTCTAATTTCAATACGATTGTATTAAAAGACAGAGGCATGGGCCATCAGTCAGAACTAGAATAAAAGAAACTGGATGCAAATTTGAATCAGATCAGCAGAAAAAAGCATACGGTTATATTGCCAGGAAGAAGAAACTCATTCTCCTGGTAGAGAAAAGGCCGAGGTTTTTTTTAAATTTTATTTATAAAAAAGATTCTGGTGCCTGGAATGGTTTTCTTTGCCAGTGCCAGAGGAGTACTATTTTAACTTTTTAGAGCTTTTGAATGATAAATCTCCCAGTTGACTGACCTGCATAACAAAAAATAATTAAAGCAAGAAATTGCTGCACTGTTTTGCATATAGCATTGATAAAAACTATTAACGATAAAATTTGTCGGCTTTTTAAACTTTGATGAAACTTGCCATTTTTAACATCATTAAACTTCAGATTATTGCTTCAAAAAGAATCCACTGTTGGAAGATGTTCATGAAAACATATATAGTTAAAATATATGTTAAAAAAGGTGTTTAAACTGCTTTTTTTTTTAAATCTTAGTGCGCCAATTTCTAGAGATCATGTTTTTCCTTTGACCACAGGTTTGATGTCGAAAATGAAAGGTGCATGATGGAAATATTTATAAATTGATTAGAATAGCTATAATATATTTATATATATATGTGTTAAATGAACTATTTTAAACCAAATAATAAACGATTAAAACATAAACATTTGGCTTAAGGGGGATTCTAGTGACCCAGCCACATACCAGGGTGGGTGAACTCCGTGATATATAGACCCTAAGGTTAAGTGAGAAAAATTGATAAAAATTCAATTGAACAACAGAAATATATAAGCAAATATAAAGGAAGTGAGAAGGAATTATAAAAATCTAATTAAACAATAGAAATACATAAACCAATATAAAGGAAGTGAGAAGGAATGATAAAAATTTAATGAAACAATAGAAATATATAAACACATCAAACACCAAAAAGAAAGAAAGAAAGAAACAAACAAACAAAAAAATGACCTAAGAGAAGGAAAATGTAAAAGAAGTTTGTTACTCATTTCCATAAGTCGAGGAATCGGACTAAATTTTAAATAATTTGTATTGTAATTATATTTTGAAAATAATATTTTTGCCTGGTATGGAAAATATAACTTGGAAATTTAGCAAATTGATTAATTTCAATTAATTAATCTTTATGAAAGGTATTGGTTAAGATAAAAAAAGTCAGTGTCACGAGCGGAATTCGAACCCACGATCTTCGGCTGGGTTTGAATCCCGCTCGTGACACTGACTTTTTATCTTAACCAATACCTTTCATAAAGATTAATTAATCGAAAGAAGTTATTTGGTCAATCGGACACAAACTCTAATGGATTTAAATTGATTAACTGTGGACAGCCGATCATATTATTTAGGTGTGTGTGGTGATTAGTGACCGTTAATCGATAATTATTCAGAAATTATGAGATGCGGTCTGGTGTGATGTAAGTTTCAGAAAAACATTTTCTTTATCGTGCCAATGTTTATTGAGATCATCTTCAGGGCTCAAAGTGTTTGTCTTCTGTGTAATTGTGCCATTCTTGCTTGTCGTGTTGACATTGGCATGATAAAGAAAATGTTTTTCTGAAACCTACATCACACCAGACCGCATCTCACGATTTCTGAATAATCATATTATTTAGCTTGTAAGAAAATATCAGGTCATTATTTGATCATCTTATGTTTCTGTGGATTCTATAATAAATTTGTACAGTGTATTCAAGTATGTTCTAGTAATTTTAAACCAGAGAGTGTGAATAAATCATCAATATACATTTTCTGTTGAATTGATTAATACTTTCTGATGTGTGACAAATGAACAGCATTTTAAAATGGGACGGACCATACAGTATAATCATTGCTTCTGCATCTTACAATTTTTTTTGTAGTTATATGTTTGAAACCTAAAATTTGATTTGCTTTATATTGAGATGGAATGAAAGTTAAATATTAATTCTATTATATTTAGTAGTCTGATTGACCAAATTACTTCTTTCAATTAATTAACCTTTTTATGTAAGGTTTTGGTTGAAATGAAAAAGTTAGTGTCACGAGTAGGATTCGAACCTACAACCTTCGGCTGAATACGCTGCTCAAACCAAATGTAAATGACGATTGCCCAAACTTGTTCGTCAGAGTCCATCGTATGACTTGTATGATTTCTTCATAAGGCTGATGTTTTTGGTCAGTCAGATGTTTTTCCCTAACTTGGTTGATCAGGGATATAACATGGGCGAGGCAAAAAAACACTACCAAGAGACAGATCAGCATGTTCTGAAACGTTCGACCTATACAAATAGCTTATTGTACTATATAATATTTCATTGTATATTTATTATTCTGTTTAATATTGTTCTGAATACTTGTTAGTCTTTTTAAGTGAAAAAATCCATATTATTTACTTTGTCATATAAATTATTTCTAATGTTTAATATTTCAAGGCAGAAATGTTTCGTCACCATTTCAATGGTTAGAGTCATATGCAGGGTAGACATTCGCCATCAAGGTGAAGCAGAGCGGAATGCTGTGAAATGGCAAAATTATTTGTTATTAAGTAATCTTTTTATGTAAGGTTTTGGTTGAAATGAAAAAGTTAGTGTCAAGAGCGGGATTCGAACCCACGACCTTCGGCTCAATACACGCTGCTCTAACCAGGTCTAGGTTGAGATGGGGAATTGGTGTCTGGGTGGATCGAAGTCAAGATAGCTCAAAAATGGTTTGAGCAGCGGTGAATTCAGTCAAAGGTCGTGGGTTCGAATCCCGCTCTTGACACTAACTTTTTCATTCCAACCAAACCCTTATATAAAAAGATTAATTAATTGAAAGTTAAGTATTAATGTTAATGCATTTACAAAAATGGCTGAGATGTAAAAGATAATTAGTTCTTAGTGAAATATCAGGAAGGAAAAAGTTGACATAAGAGAAAATGAATATTTGAGATTATTATTGTTTTTAATTCTGTAAATATTATTTTCTAGGCTGTTTTGAAGTAAGGAATAAAATGAACAACAAGTTTTGTAGTTTTTATTACTCATTAAGAGCTGTTTATTAAGATATTTTTATTGTTATAAATAAAACCTAGTGTCTCTGTAAAAATACAAAACAAAATAAAACGGTTTTTATAGGGGATATTTTTAAATTTAATTAAAAGAGTGCATTTTTCTAGGTCAAGTCGTTTTATCACTTGAAACCAAATCACGTCCAGCTGCTTTTCTCTGACAGGCACCAAGGTCAGAATAACCTGTAGCTTTCGTTTACGTTACAAGTAACGATACAGGACGGAATTCTACAAAGCAGTTCTGCTGTTCTCTCTGACAGAATTGCTGTTTCTTGGAACAGATGATAAATATTTCTCCGACAGGTCCAAGTAACAGACGTCAGACTCTTATGGATTAAGGGTCCCACCTTATCTACACTATTTTCTTTTATAATGGTCTTGTTAAAAATTTTTCTCACGCATTCTTCATATTCAGATCTATTTTTAAGGTAAGGCGAGATTATTTTTAATTTTCAATAACAAAATTGACCTGTTGATTTCTCTAAAAAAAGGATCTAAGAATGGCAGTTGACAAAAATCTAATGTGGTACCATGGGAATCTGTCAAGGGAAGATGCTGAAAGGATATTATTCAATGGTAAAAAAAAATCTTATTTTATAAAATTTCAACAATAATTTATATTATTTTTAAGGTGGGTCGACAACAAACGGGCGCTTTCTGGTCCGCGACAGCAGTTCGAGTGCTAAAGACTTTGTTTTGTCAGTCTTGTACGAGAATGAGATAATTCACTATCAAATACGAAGGCACGGGGAGGACGCCTTTTTTGCGATAGCTGCAATCGGTAAGTTTGTGTATTATTCGATTCGCTTGTTACTAACATGTGCCTTTGTAATGTCATCTGTTCTAGGTAATTGCTTAAGATCAATATAATTCTTCTTTGGTGCTTTAATCTGCAAGAGCTAAATAAGGGGCTGTAGCAAAAAAAAAAAAAAAGTTCTGACTAAATCACAGATATTTTTTAAAAACTTACACTCCGATATAAGACAATTTATTCAACCATGAAGAATGATATTCCTTTTTTTTAAAGTTTCAAGACATTTTTTAGTCTGGTTCTCTTAAAACTGCATGAATCGGGGGCTGAAATTACCTTGCTTTTCCCTGGAATCCCTGTAGCCTGACTTCGGCAGAGGAACGGATAATTCTGAGGTCTCATTATTGCTAAAATCCAAGTGGTTCATGAAGTCATAAACTCAATTACATATATGCTGCAGAGTTGAGCTTATACAAATAATCAAATTATAGTTTTGTAAGAAATTAAAACCACGAATCTAGAAATAAGATCTGACAAATACTAAACCTTTCTTTAGTAATAAATTAATTTAAGTAAGAACAACTTGGACCTGAATTATCAAACTCCAAGGCTTTCAAATTTTCTTGTGTGGATCTAAATTACACATTTGTTGTAATGAAAGAACAGCAGGGTGTTCCTGTAACGAGCTGTTGGCAACGCCTAGAGCCTAACATTGGTGTCGAGGACCCAAGGTCAAACTGACTTTTGGACCCTTGGATAAAGAGGAAATACAATTGTTGCAACTGTAGAAATAATAAAATTCATTGATAAATTGAATTTTAAAGTACTATAAGTAGTACCACTTTTTGATCTATCGTGATCTTATAAGCTGCTAAAGCTCCGATTCCATTGTTTTCACCGGGTTAAAATTGTTATTCTGGCGTTCAATTCGAAGTAGAAGAAATTTTTTCAAACACTTCAGCCAATGTGGATTTAACCTAAGCTTCCTCCACAATTTTCAAGACAGCAAAAATTTCGAGAACAACTATGCTTAAAAACTACTAGGCTTAAATGACCTGGCTATTGACAGTGCCTGGAGCCTAACTTTGAGTGATCAGATAAGACAACGGTCAAACTGATTTTTGATAGAATCCTTGATATGGAGGAAGTACAACTGTTGCAACTGGAGAAATAATAGGATCATTGATAAATTAGGACCTAAAGTTGTATAAGTACCATGTTTTGGACTGTTATGATCTCCCAAGCTGCTAATGCTCCAATTCCATTGTTTTAGCTTTCCAAAATCAATAAACCTGTTGGCTATTCATACTACAGGCTATAAGCCAAAAAATTGTTATTCTGGCATTTCTTCAGAAGTAGAAAAGTTTATTCAATGAGGCAATGTGGATGTAAATCTGAGCTTCCTCTACTATTTTAGAAACTTAAGTAATTTTTAAAGAACAAGAGAGTTTAAAAACTTCTAGGTTGGTGGGCTGAAATGATCTAGCTGTTGACATCTGGTGCCTAAGGTCTTACCCCGGGCTGTCAAAACTCTGAAATGGGTGATACTTGTTGAAACCAAATTATAGATTTTGACGAAACTAAAATCACCGGAAAATACTAAACTTTTCACTAGTATTAAATTATGTAACTCAGAACAAAAGGGCTTGAATTATCAAATCTGAGAGACTATTAATATTTAGTATAAGTCCTATTATATGTGAAGTTAAAGTTAATGGCTTTGGGAAAAATAAATTCTTGCATTAGACCTATATTACATAAATTAAGAAGTTTGTTGAAATGAAAGACCAACAGCTGGTGGTTCTGGTACCAAAAATGAAAACCACTCCAGACACCCAAAATACCATTAGTTTAATCTAGAGATAATTAAAATTGAATGGAACGTTTGATTATAAACATAATTTCTGTCATAAAAGAGGATTAACGTCCAACTTTTTAAAAAATTATTGTCATTAAAATTCCTTGAGCTGTATCTATTACTACTAGCAGCTTAGCAAATATGAGAGACAACGCAACTACTTGACTACTGTTCGATTCTGTGTTAGATGATATTTTAATTAAAAATTCCACTTTTGTTTTGAAAACTTAATAATTATCCACTAAGATAATAGTCTTATAAATCACAAAGAAGTTATTCTCTCACGCTAGAGGGACTTTAAAATCAGCAGGATAGAAATTGACATGTTACAGTGAATGTCACAGGATCAGGCGCAGACATTTCTATCAAAAATTTAAATGAAAACCCAAAGTATCTTTAGTTTTGGTCTCTTCTGCTTCAGAATTCCCTGTCAAGAAATGTGTTACTTTTTTGTTTTAAGTTTCTTACTGCTTCCTTTTATGCACAATGAAATTTGTCCTCTTCAGTCTTTCTTGATTTTGGACTGACCGTGTCAAATCAACATGACAGCAATTTTTTAGTTCTATTCTTTTCCAAAACGGTATCTGATAGTGTGTTCTTATCTCTCGTAATTTCTCATTTCTCTCAATTTCTACATCCTAGAACCCAAAGTAGGGTTTTAGAGGAGCAATAGTCATAATCTATACCATTTGAATAAATTGGAATTCTTGGATTGTATTTTTGTTGATTGTCGAGGAGTTGGCCAGGGAAGAAAAGAGATTTTTTTATATTTGCCATTATATTTACAGATGTTTCAGCAGTCTTGGAGCCATCTTAGGGATATAAATATTAATGAGCACTATATTTTTCTAATTAGAGTGTATGAAGTAGAAGAATCATGAAAAATGTAATTTATTGTCCCAAGAAGCATATTGACTATTAGATTCCTGACAAGAATTATTTATTTGTGTTCACTAGAACAAAAATTACATTTCATTTCTTAGATTTTCTCTGATCAATCGTGAGGTACCACGATACCACCAAATATTGGTCTGATATTAAAACTTTTCCCATCTTTCTTGGCATAGTTATACTTGTTTTATTATCTAAAACAAATTTATTAAAAGAGAAACTAAAGCAAAATAACACTGCTGACTGATTGTCAAAGAATTTCATATTAGACCAAGTCATTGTCTTACTGATTATTCATTGTAGGATAGATCTAGTAGGAAAATTGACAACTGACTCATTCTCATTCTAAGAAAAAAAAACTGACAACAAATTTAAAGCATTAGATTTAAATTTATTTGCACGGCCCTTGCTAATTTTTTTTTTTACCTTAGTGCACCAGTTCCCAAAGAGCATGTTTATCCTTTGACCACAAATTTTATACTGAAGATAATAGGTGTTTTGCATGAAGGAAATGTTAACAAATTGATAAAAATAAGTGTAATTTATGTGTTTTAAATATTTTTTAAATGATACACTTTTTTCTTTTGTAACAAATGAACTATTTTAAACCAAATAATAAATGATTAAAGTTAAACTGAAAGCTTTGATGTTGTTTTTATTAAAAATGAAACTAAAATCTTAATGCCAATTTTAGGCACATAATTAACAGTGCATGCGTTTTTATTAAATATGCTATCAAGAGCATTGCTGAAAATTATACTTGGATAATTGTAAAATAAATGTTAATAAAGTTGCATCTTGTTTGTTAATTTTTTTTTCACATGTGAAGGTTGTTAATTAACACAATCTACTTGGCAATTATGTGCTGTTTTGCACTATAGGCACTATAAGGAAAAGGAAAAAAAAGAAGGAATGATTAGAAAGAATCATAGAAAGTAAACAAAAAATTTTCATCTGTGTCATGTGATGTCTTTTATTTATTTCTCAATTTTTCCTGGCAATCCATTTTGCTTGACATACATTAAACATTTGTTAATAATAAATCTTTAAAAATATAATAAGATACACGTTAACTTAAAAAAATAGATCGTTCTTTTGAAAGATGTATTTTCAATGAGATGCGTCTGAATTATTGAGAATTGATTTTTTATCATGAAGAGATTGCAAGCTGGCTCAAAATGTGTAGTTTGTTGAAGAATATGGTTCTATAGTTCTATTGAAAAATTAAAATTATGGAAATATTGGAAAAATTAGCCGTTACAAGTTGAATTATAACAAAAACCAGACAAATTACTGAAACCAATAAAAAACAGATAAATTTATAAATTGTAAATTTAATTATTTATGCTGATAATGATACGTGCGTGTTCTTGGGCGTGTTCAGGACTAGTCCGTTGGCCAGCCTTTGCTGTAAGTCGAGAGTGACCTGTCATTGAACTTTGAAAAGAGCAGTTTACCATTAGCTGATAGTTCTTGGCACAGGAGTCATCCTCAGGCTGACATGGCCCTTGGATGTGCATATAGAGGGAGCTAACTGTTGACAGCCCCGGGGCTGAACTTTGATGAGGTCGGATAAGACTAAGGTCTGAATTGTAGAATATTAAAATCTGAAGTTCATGCTTATATAAATCATTCATTATCGATTTGCAAAAAAAAACTATAAAACAACAAAACTAGAAATGATATCTGAGAATTACTAAACTTTTGATTAATTATTCAGAAATCGTGAGATGCGGTCTGGTGTGATGTAGGTTTTAGAAAAACAATTTCTTTATGGTGCCAACGTTTCGATCTTCATTGAGATCATCTTCAGGGCCTGGGATTTACAAACATTGTTTAAATTTAACAAATACATGTAGGATGTGAAAAAAAGTGAATTTATACAATGCAAAAAAATATATTTTTTTATATTCAATCAAAGTATTTCTACTCACTCAAAGTGTTTTTTTTTCTGCGTGTGTGCCATTCTTGTGTGTCGTGTGGAGAGTGCCAGTGAGATATTGCTGTTGTACGTTTATATACGTTGGATTTTGAAGGGGTGGGGAAGGAAATCGGTATAGAAAGACATTTTTGTGTAAGGAGTTGGCGTCTTTGAGGTGAAAAGATCTTTTGATTAATACAAAGAAATTCCTGCATAAAGGAGGGCTTAATTTTCAATGTTGGGTGTTGTGGACAAGGTGTTAAACCACATTACAATACATTTTTCATACCATTATTAATTAAAAGGCCAAGAGTTCTGTCGGGATTCAAATTCAGAACTGCTAACATGGCAAACTTAGGCCCCTCTTATGATTGGTTTTAAATTTTTTAATGAAGATCTGAATTATCAAGAGTTAAAGTTTGTCGAAATAAAAGCTCCAAAGCTGGTGGCTTCAGGCACAGACGTTTTTATCAAGAATTAAAATAACCCTGGAAGGAAATTTTTATTTGAAAAATCACCTCACATAAAAATGATGAAGATGGAGTATGTAGATTCACTTTTATAACAACAAACTATGTCCAGGCTATCCTCGTCCATGGTAGAGGCAGGAAAGCGAGGACGGATAGTCCAATCAATCCTAGGCATTAGAAGAAAAATCATATGTAGTAAATATGAGTCAGACGCCTTAACTGCTCAGCCACCGTGGTTCCCTATGTTCGAAGATATGCGAGGAATTAAAAATTTCCTTTAGTTTCATCCTGGCCACTTTCTGAAAATATCATGCCAGACAAAAAATAATTTTACACTGAGATAATAGATAGATAAATCACTAAAAGTAATTCTCCTACGCTAGAAATATTTTAAATCAGCGGTTTAGAACTTAAGGACTTAAAATCTCAGATAGCTCAAGGTACATGCAGGTGCAAGGTATGTAAGACAAGTAAGATATTTTATATGATAATATTTTAGTGATGGTAATTATCAAGATAGAATGAAGTAAATTGAAGTATTTATACCAAATTTTTCAGAAATTTTGGCCTTTTAGGAATTAATGACTGTTGAGAAATTATTCATTCATGGCATATTATTATTATTTTTTTATAATGGTGTACTCTATAGGTTTAAATGCTAAAAATATTTAATTTTATGTGTTTAGCAAGTTTTGAGATGTTATTACTTATAATTAAGCATTTCTCTCTTTGGCTTTCAGACGAAGAGACTATAGTTCATGGATTAGACACGTTGATAGAATATTATCAAGAAAATGCCAACGGTTTGATGTGTGCTTTGGTTGAACCCGTACAAAAAGATTTACCGCCGCATGACACGAGGAGACACGGGAGGACCAACCTTTTACATCGCGCCACCAAGCAAGGTATGTTAAATTTAATACAATTAAAAATAGTCCATTTATTGTTTAAAAAATAATAGGAGAGTTTATTGTCGCGTCTGAGCTGTTGAAATGTGATTATCGGCTGGAAGCGAAAGACGAACAAGGACAAACTGCTGTCCATCTGGCGAGTAAACTGGGACAAGAAGCAATTCTTCAGATCCTCATAGATAAAGGAGCGAATGTTAACTGTTTAGACCAAATGGGAAATACACCACTGCATGTAAGCTTATAACTTGTATTTTAGTATTAACTGACATAATTAAAAAATTCTGTTCTGTGCTAACACAAGGATCCAGTTGGTATGTGACAGTATGTTTTGTTTTCATTTTTATATTGTTTTGTTAATTTTTTAGTATGCCTGTCAGTACAATTTAATCAAAATTGTTAGAATACTTCTAGATAGCGGATTTGCTAATGTTCAAAGGAGGAATACAATCACAGGTGCTTATGCATAAGAATGTTTTATGTTGTGAATTTTTACTAAAGTTTTTTTGTCTTGATAGGGTGGGTACCTCTGCACGAAGCGGCGAGTAGAGGCCATAAAGATATTGTTGAATTATTGCTACAAATTGGCGCGCCTAGTCGGCCAAGGACGCTAAAAAATGAAACTCCTCAGTTGTTGGCAGAAAGCAATGGATTTTTCCAGTGCGCACATCTTTTAAGTATGATAAACAAAAATTTGAAGTTTTAAATGGTAGAATTTGCAATAAAAAAGTGATTTTTTTTAAATCTTAGAAACATATCCAAGCCCAATTCCTCAAACTTCAAGGGAACAATGGTATCATGGGACGCTTAATCGTCAAGAAGCTGTTCTGGCGCTCGAAGCTAGCAATATGGGCGATGGTGCCTTCTTAGTCAGATACAGTGAAAATAAAGGATACGTGTTGACCATGCTATGTTCCAACAAGGCTTATAATTTTGTTATTCAGAAGCATGTATGTTATTTAAATTGCTTTCTTCCCGTTTGATATGTTTAATATATTCATTTAGGAATCTTTTTATGTAATTGACAACGGACCTTATCTCGATTCCCTTGAACATGTTGTGGAGCATTATCGCCTTTTAACCGATGGCCTGCCTACCACGCTTCAACACCCTGTACAACCAAAGCCCAAACCGCCATTACCAAACTTCCACCCAAAAAGAAGTGTAAGTTCAAGACAGTTATAAGCATTTCGACAAAAATAAACATGAAATGTGAATTTTTTAGTTTCCGACATTACCGTATAAAAAAACAGCAAGGAAATCTGAAGGGAATGTAACTGCGACTTTACCCATGCCACCGAAACCAAGACCATCTAGGTATAGCATAGATTCCAGCCTAAGTAACTCACACATGTCTTTAGTGAGCAATGACATATCCTTGCACAATTCTACTCTGTCTTTACCTTTTTCACTACCTCCTGAACCACAATCTCAAGGTAAAAAGCACAATATTATTATTTTATATGATATAAATTGAAGTAACGTTTATTTTATAGTGTTTATCCCGAAGGAAAATTTAATTCTAAAAGATGTGCTAGGCGAAGGGGAATTTGGTTCGGTTTTTAGAGCGTTATATCAAACAAGACACGGGAATGAGGTTAGTAGGAATTATAAATATGTTTCTTTTTTATAAAGAATATAAAATATAAATGAATTTTTGTTTTTAGGAAGAGGTAGCAGTTAAGACTTTAAGACGTGAACATATAAGCTCAAATGAAAAGGATTTCATAAGAGAAGCCGAAGTCATGCTTGGTTTAAATCATCACTGCATCGTTAAACTAATCGGTCTAGCACAAGGCGATTCATTTTACATGGTTAACATTTAAATTTTTTTTTTTGACAATAAAAAGTGCAAATAATGTTATGAAAACATTTTCCAGGTTCAGGAGTTGGTTCCTTTAGGTTCAATTCTTTCCTTTTTGCACAAACATCCTGAGCAAGTCAGTCCTGACTATGAACTTCTTGTATGGGCATCACAGATTGCATGTGGTATGCGGTAAAAAAAATTTCATAAGAATCCGACAACTGGTTTTGGAGATATAGTTGTGTACGAGATTTTATGTTTGCACTTGTGCAATCAATACTGATTAATATGACCGTCTAGAAACCAACCCGCACAATCTTTGAAAATTTAATAAAAATTGGTCTCATGTTTCGGATTTTTTCTAGTTACAAGGAATTGACCATATACAGAAAGACAGACAGATACGGAACCAAAATTGTTCAGAAAGGTCTAAAACACAAAATGCAAGTGGAAATTCTGATTTTAGAGGACAAATTTTTTTTTACTTTCCGCATGAATACAATGCTTCCCTACCTTAGGTAGTTCAGAAGCAAAAAAGCACATTTGCAAAACTTTTCTCCCCCAAATATATCTGATCCCTCATGATCTAGACTTATGTAAATCAAACTGTAAAATCAAACATCTTTTCTTGGGTAGTGAGTTCATTTAAAACTTCATGATTATTTGTCTTTAAAAGGTTTTTAAATCAATTATTCTCTTTTATAAGCCATTTTTATGGGTGCTTACAGGCATGCAGTATTTAGAGCAAAACATGATTGTTCATCGCGACCTGGCAGCTCGTAATGTCTTATTAGCGACAAGACATCAGGCTAAAATAAGCGATTTTGGACTTTCTAGACCGCTGAAAGAAGAAGGTGGATATTACCAGGCGACGAGTGGAGGAAGATGGCCGATCAGATGGTTAGCCTATCAAATAATTTTTTGTGTGGGTAAAGAGTGAAGATTTAATTGAATTTTGTTTTGTTCAGGTATGCTCCTGAATCGTACAACTTTGGCACATTTTCATCGGCAAGTGATGTTTGGAGTTTTGGTGTTACGTTGTGGGAGATGTTCACTTACGGTGAACAACCGTTTGGCAATCTCAAGGGTACTGAGGTAATAATCCTTTTGTATAATTTTTTTTTATATTGGCTTTATTTTTCAATATTAGCCAAAAAGAGTCAAAGAATGAATTAATTGTATTCTTGTATAGTGGGAAAAAAAAGTCTGGGGTGATGGTGGGAATTGAACCCACGACCGCTGGGTCTTCAACCGGAAATCTATCACACTGACCACTCAGCTATTGCAATCCCATTTACAAATTTAAATTGTGTGATATCTTCATGGGGTCTGCAGTGTGATGAACCTGTTGTGTACTGGTTTGTGTGTCCATTTGACAAGTTGACGCCTTTAGGGATAGAACAAACTAGCAAGATTAGGCAGGCCAAAATGATCAGTAATGACCAATTTATATTTACAAAGATTTAGTATATTTATAGTTTTTCTATTTATATTGACAATAAAGTGTCCGAGCAGATCGAGGTCACGATAGCTCAAGTGGTAGAGCAGCGGCGTATCTAGCCGAAGATCGTGGGTTCGAATCCCGTTCGTGCCATTAACCTTTTTTTCATCTCGATTAAAAACCTTAACTAATTGTAATGATTTAATTGGTCAAGCGGACCACGAAATTAGTGAATATATTAACAATAATGGTATTGTGAAACCTATGTCAGCAAATAAATTTATTTGGGTTTTATGAGTACAAATAATCACATTTTATTGAATAAACGTAGTACATTTTTTTTTGGATACCAGGGACTGGACGAGTTACCTCCTGAGCACTGCAGCTGAGCTGTACAGATTATTGTACTTTATCCCTGGCTCCATATTTTGGGTGAGGGCTCGCAACACAAATGTGAACTTGAGCCCCCGATGTACTGGTGTTCTTCCATCGAAGAAACTCATTTTTGAAAGGGGTTGGGACCAAATTCAGGGTCGCTGAGATCCGATCTTGCCCCTTCCATTGATGAGTGCCGTGTCAATTTCCTTCAATTGCAGCCACTGGTCCCCTTAAGCGTCAGAAAAATCCAGAGGTGACGGTGGGGATCGAACCCACGACCGCGGGATCTACTAGCTGAGGGTCTGACGCCTTAACCACTCGGCTAACCCGGCCCCTCAACGCAGACATACTAGTCAGCTATGTATTAACCCTTTTTAATAATGATTTTTTGCCATCTGTTTTTACAAAAATCCTGAGGTTTACAGGTGAAAAACTGACCCTAATGTTTTTGAAAGCCTCCTCGTCAATAAATGTTTTCTCATGCAACGATCATAATAAGTGATAATTAGAACATGCTAAAGTACCGCTTTAATCCGGATGGTGCGACAAAACATCCCAATGGAGAATAATTCACTCTAGGTCAATAATGATGCGAGGGTGTCGCATTGTCAGGGAAAGAACTTCTTTCTGACCAGCCAATTAGTTATGTTAACTGTGGATCTATCGTTCTGCTTGTTGGTAGCTCCCCATAGTGAAAAATACACTAACATTGCACAAAATTATAATTAATTAAGGTTTTTAGTTGAGATAAAAACGTCAATGGCACGAGCGGGATTCGAACCCACGATCTTTGGCTTGATACGACGCTGCTCTACCACTTGAGCTATCCTTGATCCAGTCGGCACTAACTTCCCATCTCAACCGCACCTTTTGAATTTTCCCTCCTTTTTGCCATTTTTCAAATGTCGTGTAATCGGGTTGGATTCTCGACGACAATGAAATGGTCACAGAGAACTTTAGTGAAGTACACTTCGATAGCTCAAGTGGTAGAGCAGCGGCGTATCAAGCCGAAGATTGTGGGTTCGAATCCCGCTCATGCCATTGACTTTTTTATCTCAATTAAAAACCTTAATTAATCGTAATATATTAATTGGTCAAGCGGACCACGAAATTAGTGAATTCAATTGCACAGAATGTTTACGGTGGTTCATTCTTGTGTCCCAATGATCTCTTAGCACCACAATATTGTGTAGGATCCATTTTTCATCTCAAATAATCGTGCGCTTTAAAATGGGGTCATTTTCTTGGTGATGCTACGTATTTTTTATGATCTTCAGCTCGTGTACCTTTTTTTGAAGTAAAAAAGCAAAATATGCTGGTAATGTTATGTCTTTATGTCAAATTTGTTACATACATTACATATTAAAGTATCCCGAACTCATTAAAATGTTATGTGAAATGTTGGCTTTCAACTATGAAATATAATTAGACAGTGCTACTACAGAGGCAGGTAGAGCTGCGTAAAACTTGTAAGAGTGAAAAAACTGAACAAACTTATTTTTCAACCTTATAAGCTTATAACTAAGAATTAAATTGAATTTGTTTCAATCATGGTACTTGATGATTAATTAGTATTAATAAGCTCTTTTTACTTGATGATTAATTACCCATCATAAAGGCAATCAAATCCCATAGCAGTAGCACGCCTTGGATCAAAAGTTGATTTGACCTACGCTTTGTTTTTGAACTGTATAATCTTTAAAGTTCAATCTTCTGGCAAAAGAGGCAGACATTTCAGGATCAATATAAACAGTAGTTAGCGATTTGGCTGTACATATTAACAAATATAGCAGACAGAAAAAGGAGTACAACAAACCAAAGGCATAAAAAAGGAAAATATAGGCAAATATCCAACCAGAAATAAGTCCTGTATGGTTCAGCAAAATTGGTCGACCAAGAACATTTTTCATGTAAATTTGCAGACCACCTGAACCACAACAGTTTTCTATACCATCTGTGCAATATCGGAATTAAAGATATAAGAACAAAAATTGTGGCAGGGGGGCTATCAGATAAAGATCGTCCTTTTTTCCTGCCCACTAATTACCCTGAAAAAGAGAACTACTGTACTCCTCAGTTATGAAAAGTTTTCTTGACCACCAAAATCATAATTCTAAGCAATATAATAGTTCACCAAATCAGATTTGGTATGTTTAGTGTGGCAAATAAATTTGTCATTTAGGTAAGGGGTGATCCTGCTCACGGTGACAAAGATGGATGTCTGGCTGCTCTTTGCTCTTTAAACTTTTTACTCACATACCCTGAAACATCCATAAGACTGAGGAATACATATCCTTAATAGGATAAGTGCCTGGTGTCTGACCTGGTGGCAGTGTGCTCAATATATTATTTGTAATTTCTGTAATATTTAATCAATAAAGCCAGGCAAAGCGTAATCTGAAGGAGTTAGGTCAGGATTATTGGGTGGGTGTGATAAAAACTAGATTAGTTTATTTAAGAAAGTTTTTGTTCTGTATATCTAGAGGTTCATGACAGGATGGGTTCTTGAAACAAAACTTTCTTCCTTTTTCTTACTTTCTTCCAAAACTTCTTATTAATCGGACTTACATTGATGTGTTTTAACTTGAGTTCATACTAATAGCTATCAGTTAATCCACTTTAAATTATTGGTAATACTTCTGTTAACCACTTGAATTTGGAAGCAGCAGGCAAGGATTTTTTAAGAAATGTTTGCTTGATAATTGACTTTTTCACATTTGCTTATTTTTGACAATTCACAATGGACTGTAATAAGACTGGTAAGTTTGTCTGTTCACGAATCAATTTTGTAAGATTGGCCCAAGTAGTGTTACATATGGCTATTCACAGTTTTTAATCAACACTTTTAAAAAAGCATTTTCATATTTTAAAATAATAATAGTTTATTTTTATATATTAATTTGATGTTTTGTGTAGGTTATTAAACTGATAGAGAAGGGCGAGAGGCTTCCCCAGCCTGCGTATTGCAAGCCCGCAATATACAAAGAGATGGAAAAATGCTGGCAGTACGTTGCAAGAGACAGGCCTACATTTTCCGAGCTGGCCGAGCTATTCGCATCGCTCAATTCGTACGAGAACGTAAGACAGTTATTAACAAAAACTGATATTAGCTGAGGATTAGACAAATCAAATGCCTTATTCAATCCATTCCAATTCGTCTTATTTCAGCATGTCTCTTATAACATTTAATTTTGCCAATTATTAAGAATCGTGATATTCTCAATATTTTATTTTAACCGAGTGTCTCTATCTTATAACTCTATCTTATATGATTTTCATTTATTCAATGTTATTATTTTTTTAATGAAAAATTGCATACATTGATGGGAAAATTGAACAAAATTACAATCAAAAGGTTTATAAATAGGTTTTAATTAAGTTATTTGGCAAAATTTTAATGTTTGAAGTAAGAATCGTGTATAGGAAGCAGATGTAATAATAACATTTAGTATTATTTAATTATTAAATTTTAATTAAATTTCAATCAACAATAAACTGGTCAATAAATTTGATTGAAAATAGTTGTTTTATGTAATAAACTCATTTTTATTATACTCAATCAACTATCAAAAACGAGTTCATCGAATTTAATATAAAAAAAAAACCTTATTTAAAAATAATGTTAACTGAAAAATTAATATACAAATTAACAATAAAGGAGAAATTAATTGGATTAATAGAGCCATGAAGTTTAATTTTTTGTCAACGGTAGACATACAGAATTTTAATTTTTACAATTGTACTAGATTGTTGCATATCCAACCAAATTTTATAGGTAAATCTGACAATAATTATAAAATAAAATAAATAAATTGTACTTTTCCATCAAATGTGGTTAGACTTGTTTAAAAAAATTGGATTAATTTAGAGTTTTATTAATTAGAGAACAACAGGGGCTTTAGACTTGTGCAAATGATTTTATATCGATCGAAAATATTAAATGATATTTTAATTATATTAATTTCACTATGGAGATTGAATTTATTTGGTGCCAAATGTTTTATTTTAGGTTATTTTTTTAAAGGCATGTGCAATTTTATTCCCTGCCTCATTGTAATTTGTGATTAATTAAATCCTGAAATTAAAAAAAAATACATCTTAGGATAATAGCTCATTTATGGCTAATGGTTTGTTTTTATATTGTAATTAACATGTGCTCATTATTAAATCAAAGCATTTAGTATATTTAATTTACTCGTTTAATTAAAAATAGAAAGTTTTACTGAGATTTATGATGGGTTCTGAATGATGCCAAAGAAATGTAAGCATTTCAATAACTTCTTAAATAATTGCGTGTGTTTTTAATGTTATGATAAATTTATTTTATATATGTATTTTTTCTAAATTGTTTTATCTGTTTATCTCTGACAGCTGGCCTTGTAAAGGAAGATAATTTGTCAAAAATAAATCAATGATTGTGAACATAAACGTTTTGACTGAATATTAATGTTGGTAATTATAATTTTTAAATAAAATTTAACCTAGCTGGTTTTCTGCTTTGATCTTTTTTTTTTTTTTTTTAAATTTCAGTTTTGCTCATTTTACATTTAAACAACAGATTTCTAATTTAATATTTTCAAGTCAGAGAACTTGCTAAAGTTATTTATTTAAAAAAAAAGTTATGAATTATAAAAAATATTATTCTAGAATTATACAAATAATTACAATTATTTTGTTGTTATTCATAGAACTATCAATATTTCATTAAAAAAATAACTGAAAACAAATTAATTTCAAAGACTATTTTTGTTTAAACAAAAATAGCTTTTTTATCTTTACAATAATGGATTAATCCTGAAGACTAGCTAAGGCTTGTACATAGTTTTAAAATAATATTTTTAAGATTATAAAATATAATTTGTATATTGTGATAATGCCATAGAACTTTTATATTTTGTTATTGTTTAGTTATTAAGACTGTTTATTATACGTTATTAAAAAAAAAAAAAAAATAATAAGGCAGGGAATAGCAATAGTTCAACTGTCTCCTAGTCTGATTTTTGTTAAACATGAATTGATTATATTTCACTCATTGTTTTATAATGTTAAAACAAATCTTTGTCCGAAAGTCGTTTTATTGCTGGATTAAAGGAAAATAAATTGTTTTGGCCTGTACAAAATTTTATTAGATTTGAAACCTGGAGTTTTCCTAGGGATCTTTGACTGAGGAAGATGTTATTAAAACTCTTCACTCTATCTGAGGCCAACTTCTTCACTAGTCATCTAGGAAAGAAATCTTCTGGTTTAACCTTACCATTACCCAGTCCTTACAACTGCCAAACTATCTCTTCCAAATCAAAGGGAAATTATCCATCATAAAATCTAAAAAACCTCAGCATCTCCCTGTTCATATTGCACTATCAGTTTACTGGAAAACTTCTTTTAAAGCATACTTGAAAGCTTCAATGTCATTGAATTGGGTTTCCTAGACATGAAGAATGCCTTTGATCGAGTCTGGAAACTTTTATTACATCATCTTAAAATCCTACTTTCAAGTATGAAATGAAACAACATACCCCATCTCCCATATCAAAGTAGGTGTTCTGCAAGGCAGCATTCTTGATCCCATTCTATTTTCAATATACACTTTCAGACATTCCTATCGATTTCAATACAGTACTTCTCACATAATCAGATGACACTGTCTTTTCACCAAACCCAAGATCAATAGTAGCCTGCCGAAACCTCCAGAACCGTTTCTCTGCATGGAACAATTGTTCAAAAAATGGAGGATTAGACTCAACGAAACTAAATTCTAGCAAATAACTTATATCCTGTGCTGTGACTCTCCTTCTGAGATGTACTGTAACTCTGTTTCTTTTCCAGAGTTCATAAACTTCATCCGTTATCCACACATGTACCTGTTTATATAGTATAATGATTTTTTTCGAAGTCCTGAAGGCGATATATTCTGCCGAAAGCTCGACAAGAAAATAAATGTTGTTTCTGTCTTCCTGGCCTCATCCCTGATCTACCTTTTGGAAAGAGAAAAAAAAATATTTAAACTGAGAAGGCTGATCAATCACCAAAGAAAATATTATTTGGGTCTTTAAATTGGCAAAAGTCTTACTTGGAACCCATACACTCGACCCAAAAAAATAGAACTGAACGTACGATATTTACCTCAAAGATTCTTCTTGACAACAGATCGAAACTCTGACGACAAAACAACTTTACTACAACCAATCTGAACGTCCTGAATTTTGGAATTACTGAAACTTCGACCAAGCAAAACAACCTCCAAAGAATCCAGTTATACCAGTCCAAAATCCTTCGAACCATTGTACAAGCTACTTTGTATCAATCTTACTATCCACAAAACCGCAAGAAGTTGATACTGGTGATTCAATAAAACCCTGGAACCTCATCCCAACCTCAGTCCAACACCTTTTTTTCGAACTCTTCCCGACCATCTTCTAAGATGCTTAAAGTACATGTGATTTTTTCCTCAATGAGGAAAGTGAAATAAAGTAATAAAAATAAAGAAATTCTTATCTTACAAGAGGGCTTAAGGTCCACCTACCTGGTTGGGTGCCACAGTCAAGGGGTCAAAACACTACAATATATTTTTCATATTTTCAATTCAAAGATGGTACTGCTAATGTGGCAAATACGAGTTGGACACTAACCACTCAGCCGCCTCGTTCCCTCAATGAGGAAAGTGAATATTATCGTTAGGAGTGTAATATTTAACTGCTCTTATAATATAAAATTCATAAAGCTAGCAAAGTTGTCTGCAGCACTCTAGTGCTACTGAAACAAATATATAAAAAAGTACAATTGCTTTATTTAACAATATACAATATACATGTTTGGTTAACACATTTATAAAAAAATATAAATTAAAAAATATACACAATATGGTAAAAAATTACTAATTAAAAAAAGCCTAGTAAATTGCACTGTACACACAAAGAAAAATTTTGCTTTTTATTCAGGGATCAGTCAGTACATTTACATAAATTTTTGGAAAACGATACAATGCATGGGTTGCAATGCTCAGCCAAAAATGTGCCATAGAAAATCAAGAAGTTAATTCAGAATATTGTTTATTTTTTAAAGATTGCATATCGAGGTTTTTCTTCTATCCGAATATAACATGCTTTTTCAACTTTTACTTTTTATATTTGGCACATAACTATAATTAAGAAACTTCTTAGGATGATGGATTCGAGTTAGAGAGTAAATCAGGTGTAAGGGAGCTGACAGTTTGCTTCATCGGCGCCGTCAATACAGTCCTTTTTGCCATCACAGATTTGCTGGAGAGTGATACACCTTCCGTCCAAACATCTCAATTCGCTCGTCGGGCAAGGTGAAGCGTGTGAGTGAGAAGAATGCATCGCTATCATATCTGGAATGTAATGGACCATTAATAATAAATTTTAAATATTGGCTCAGGGCTTAAAGTTATTATATAAAACTGGATTTTTACAAAATGTGTTAAGATCTGCAAAGTGATAAACCTGCAACTTGTGTCTATTCTCGCTGTTATTTATGTTTTTGATGCTTCGTAAAGTGCAAAGTGAGGACTTATATTTATTTGCAAGAATAGGCAGGTATAATAAGAGTTTATATGCACAAAATAGACATATTCCAAAAAATTAAAAAATAACATAAAAAGGTAATTAATATGTTGTTTTATGCGATACCATAAAAAAATATATATTATGCTAAATCGCATACTGTAACTGTTGAAAATGGCTTGGCCTGTTTGGTTGTAAATGTGGGGAATGAAGAAATAAAAATAAATAAAAAATTGGGCTGGCAGAGAACGTTAGATTCAAGGAGAATTTTTTTTTTTTTTTTTTTTTTTTTTTTTAAGGAAAAATAATGAATAATTGGATTAGTTGAACAACTGCAATATTGCAGAAGCAAGCATGAGACTGATCTGGTAGAAACACCGGATCATGTCATATAAGCACATTGAAAAATCTGGAAATGCTTGGTTGTTTAGTTGGATATGTGTTGGCTTCCTTAGTTTTTAATAATAATTTTGATTTACTAAAGATGGCGACAAGTCGAATAGTGTCTAACCAAGCTAACGATGATAGGCAGACTAAACATCATCACCATGCAGACGACCACACATTACAATTGTAGGATGAAAGTGCAGAAGAAAAAATCTAGAGAATTTCGAGAGAGTAGAGTCTGAGTTGGCAAGGCCACAATCACAAGACAGTCATCTTTGACCAAAGACCTTCAAGGAATTGACAACTAAATAAAATCTCACAGAGAGCAAAAATGGTTGTTGGTAGATTTAAACGCCTTTATGAGAAAAGTTGGGGACTAAACCCAAAGATGTCTAAGGCTATACACAGCAGTTGTTAGGCCCATAATAGCTCAAGAGATCGGTGGCTTGCTGGACAAAAGTATTACATCTAAGGACAGTCAGGATCCTCGTTTCTGCTCAAAGACTAGTGGATCTAGTCATGCCTGAGCATCACTGTGGCAATGAGATGACCTCCTGATGCTCAGGAAGTCCTTTTGGATCTGCCACACTACATATCTTTATCCAGGGAGGGGGGAATTCATAGGCTTATGCATGGCAGGCTCCTGCCTGTCTGCACCTAAAGCTTTGGGGGTTTTAGGCAGTCAGGGTTCTGGGCATGAATGCTAATGCCATAAATTCTAAATTCACATTTGACAAAAATTTCAAATTAAAATAGTACAGCAGAATGGGAGGAATGGATTCTAGTTAATGCCGACCAAATCCAGTATACAGAAGATCCCAAAACCGAGTATGGGTCAGGAGCTGGTATTTATGGAAATAAACCAAGGACTTGAATTCATATCAACTTTGAGCAATATGCAACTGTATTTCAAGTGAAGACTGTAGCTATTTTACTCTGTACCAAGGTATCGTTAACAGAAATAGCCATGGTACAGTTCAGGGTCGTTTGGTTTTGCATTAGAGCTTTGCCAGACAGGGAAAACAGTACCAAGGCACATAGTGTGGGAGTAATGAAAAGTCTAATAAAGGAAAGTATGATGTTGACACTCATTTCCCATGAATGATTTTGTGGTATATATATATTTGTGGTTTACTGCCAAAAACATAGATCCATCAGACAATGGATTAAAAATAAGCCTCCGTTCAATGGGAATGTAGCCCAAGGCAGAGGCATGTCAAAAGTTCATCAAAAGACCTAGAAAAGAAGAAAACAAAAGAAACTAACAGCAGAACTATTAATCTAGGATGTGTTAGGCCTAGATAGTAGGAGCACTGCAGGTTCTGGATACATATAGACTTGGGGAAGGCTGAGAATCCTTCTGGAAGAGGAAAAGCCTGAAGGATACGTAAGGGAGTCATTGAAAAAGCTTTGGGATCTGGTAAAAAGCTTAATGAGGAGCTCTAGACAACAATAGAGTAGCACAATGGACCGAACTATTCGTGGTGCATGCGCAGGCCCTAAAGAAACTGACATCTTTTCTAATCTAATCTAAGGCCACAATAACTGACCTTACACATTATTAATATTATTTAAATTTAACTGTAAAATACAAGAAAATGAAAAAAAGTACAAATCCCTCTTTGCTGATGAGCGGGACTTATAGGGAGAAAAACTTTATAGAGGAAAAAAGGAAATTAAATAAGAAAAGTTTCATTATTGTTTTTTCCTTTCAAAATACTGTTACAGATACTTACATTACTTACAATGACACTTTTTCTTTAATGTTGCCTTATTTTAGTTAAAAAAATTATGTTTAAAGAATTTTTACACCAAGCTGTCTCATATTTACATAATATTGACATAATGAAGTTAAGCTTGGTTGTAGAGCTGTGCTTTTCATAGAAAAATTGTCATAAAACGTTTTATTTTAAAATAATGTTTGGCTCAAGTGAAGTATTTAGATTGGAGCTGTAGAAGTATTATCATAACCTAATCATACTTGTATTTTAAATTTGATAGCGTCGATTAAAAGCATTGTACACAAGTGTTCAACTTGTCTTCTGTACAATAATTTACAAAAATATTTACGTGCTGAAAAGCTTTAAATGTAAGCTTGTTAAATGTTCTGAGGTAACCAGCAATGCTGGAATTTTTAATTAAAGCTCGATATTTTAAAAAACCTGTTTATAGCCACAAGCATAGAGCAAGGAATGCAACAGCTTCTTACCATGTTTTTGAGGAACTACTAAGTATTTAAGGTTGTTTTCTCCTTTTACTGTATTCTCTACAAAAAATATTAATTTTGAAACATTTCAATCCGGCAGAACAAAACATGGGAAATGGTTAAAATCCTTCAATGTAGTCGATCTTTTACGAATTCAAACAAAAATATTTTACCTTCGTTTCCTTGGCAGTTGTTTTCATCAGACGAATCCCTACAATCGGGGTGACCATCACATCTCCATTCCAAAGGAACGCATTGATCTTTGCTGCCACAACTAGAATTTAACAATTTTTCAAAAAAATTAAAACTTTGCGAGAAAAATCAAAATCAACTTACGCAAATTGGTAATTGTTGCAAGCAGTGCAATTGGCTTCGTCTATGCTATTCAAGCAATCTTTTTTTCCATCACATCTCCACCTGTTTGGAATACAAGTTCCGTCACCGCAGCTGAACTCCTTGTTCAGACAGGTCTCACCTGAAGATTAAAAAATATAATCTGACTGTAGAAAAAGTTCAATTTGTGTTCTAGTACAAGTATTTTTACCATTATTATTTTTATTTCTTACTTTGCTTCTTAATATGAATCAACATTAAAATTTTAATGTACGATATAATATTCTTAAGTATTTGTAACATTTCAAATAAATTTTTTTAAATATTTGTATAATATATAAAAAAAATAAATAGAGGAAGCAAATTATCTAGAAATATATTAGATTATAAAAATGTATGATTATTAGTTGCTATTATTTTTGGTGTTCCACAGGGGTTCATCTTAGGTCTTCTTCTATTTCCAAGGAATAAACACACAAGACCTTGGAGGGGGGGGGTCAGAATTATCAGATTTAAATATAATTTGAATAATCAGCATGATCTATTATTCTGTTCAGCGACAATAACACTAATTTTTAAATATTGTATTTATTATTTGTTTTAATAAATTTAGTCGTACCTTTTGCAAGATTCACACAAGAATCTTCAGCATCGGGATAGTTGTCACATTTAAAGACCTGCGAAAGGTCCAACAAATCGAGGATGAAGTCGTGGCAATCTTCCGCAACGGCTGAAACCGTAAACGAAAGTTAAAGGTGTACGAATACAAAAAATTTTTTTAATGATACCTTTGCAAAGACTTCTGCATGGAGGAGTGACGAGCTGGCCGAGGGGGCGACACTCAGGCTCAAGTAGGGAGCAGAGGAACTGCCTGGACCTCGGACTACACCCGGAATCCAGAATGAGTTCGAAATAAGGCATTGCGTCTCTTAAAGACTCCATTGTGTTTATCCCGGGCAAGGATGGAATTGATGTTAGATCCCACGGAATCACCCCTCGGCATATTTGTAACTGAGGAGAGTGACAATTGCCTAAAAAAATAAAAAGTTAAAAATTACATTTCTAATGTACGAACGAAGCAAAAATGCAGACTTTCTGTGTAGTTGTATGGAGGCTGAGTTGGCTGTGGAACACCCCGTGGTTGCAGGCTCGGTAGAGTTGGAGATACAGGTAGAGCTGTAGTGCTCATGCTCAACAATTTGCCCATAGATGGAGCAGACTGGAAAGAAAAAAATAATAAACACTATTTATGGATATCAACAAAAAAAATTCGATAAAGTACTTGATATTCTCCATATTTGTGCCCATTTGTTATTCTCTTCATGTATCCGGTTTCGCCCAAGCTCGTGAACTGCTTAACGCTCAGCCCTTCATGCACAGGTTTCTCTTGTTTTTTGGCGCTCTCGTGGAAATTGGATATGAGCCTGTCTATAAAAGAGACTTCTTCAGCAAGTGCCATTTCTTTGCTCAGATCCGATTCTTCTTCGATTTCCTTTTCCGGTTCTTCAATCATTGTCTCTAAAGACTTGTATGTGCTGTTTGTCTCGTTGTCTAATAATTTCGAAATTTTTAGAAAATCCTAAAAGGAATTAATATAAGGCGTTACAGAAATGGATGTACCTGGTAACTGTGCTAAACTCGAGTGAGATTCAAGATCAAGATCTGTCTCGAAGGTGAAGGTTGCATTTGTAATTGCTTTCGGTCGAACTTGTGTGGCCCCTTTAAATATAAGTAATATTTATTATATAATTCACACTAATATCATTTGAAATATTCAAATTGAAAAAAAAAGTAAAGCAATTTCTGTCAAACAAGAGGGCTTAAAAAAGTCAAACTTTTTCGCAAGGGTATGGTACCAAGGCCTTAGCACAAGAATGAATTTCCTAGGTATGATAGCCTTTTCCTAGCTATTTTCTATTGTTTTTAACTTATCTAGACCTAGTCGACATTGGTCATTTGTTAATAGACACTTTTTATTTATTGTTTTACTGTAAATATATTTGTGTTGTCTTTCTGCAAGAAGGAGGTTCTTTTTCTTAGTCTTTGTCCGTGCCTCATGCCTGACATTTCCAGTATATTTTGCTTACTTCAGTAACCCAAAGATTCCATTTTTAAATGTGACTATAAGTAAAGCCACAAAATGCTTTTTAGCCTGTCTGCTGCCTCTTGAGGCTATTTGGTGATCCCTATTTTTTTTTAGGATATTGAGACCGTTCCAAGGGGTTGATCTCATAGTCTTGTAGAGCTGTCTATCTGACAGTTTATTGTTGCACCCTTCTTTGTTATTTATTTTATGGCATGTTTCAATGACTAGGAATTCGGTTTGAAAGATGTTTTAGGATCTGAGGACATTCCAAGCTAGTTTTGAGTTGGTCTCATAGGCTTGATCCATTAGAGCTGCTTGGATATCTGAAACATCCACTAAATCCATTTGCTGGACAAAGACCAAACCACTTTACTATACTTTTTCATATTATTCTTAATTAAAATTCCTTAAGTTATGTTGGGATTCAAACCTGAAATGAATAGTGTAAATAAGAGTCGGACGTCCTAACCACTCAATCATCAAGGTCACATATATTCAAATTTAATAAAAAATAATTAAGTAAAAATGTGCTGTATTGTATTTTTATATGCCATAAAAAATTTAAAAAATAAAAATGACATTGCATAATTTTATTTAATAAACAATCTAGGATCAAGGATACCATTATTTGATTAGCTTATGAATTTTTTGCAATTGCACAATACTAGATAAAACTTCTTGTCAGGCTATTTTAAAAATATTTATTAATGTATGTAAGGAATTGGCATGAGTAAGTAAGCATAAGAATTGCATACTTCCAGCATACATGCAAGAACTAGATAAAAAAAGAAATCAATGGATTTTGCAGACAACTGTCTCTTTATATATCATTGTAAATAATTAGATTACAAAGAAAAATATTACTTGTATTGCTATGAAGCTCAACAGAAAATTATAAAACGAAATACCCAGCTGTTTAGTTGTTAGATACCCAGTTCTTAGCTGGTTTTATTTTAAAGGCATATGCAAGTGGAAGCTACAATGGGAAAAGCATCCCGGAATAAATTATATGAGTTCCATTTCCACAGGCTAAATAAATGCAATGCTGATATCTTGAAGAAACCGAACTAAAACTGTCAACTGGCCAAAAACACATGAACTATCTCAGGCAAAATATTCACTCCCAACAAATTTAAATGGGCTATTATTGACTTTAACCCCTACAAATCACAGTTTTCCATGTTACTATAACAGGGATTGGAATTAGGAAATTAGGAACTTTTTATGGCCAGTGCATACACCAGGGATATGAAGTTGCAAGGGTGGTATTCGTACTTCGAAAGGAGGAGGTCACACTTTAGGTTCAGCCAAAGCAGTACGACCCATCAGCTCAACTTCATTTGTCCAAACGGAGAAAATTATAGTTCAAGAGATTAATGATAATCATCTTGCAAAAATGCCTTCCAAAATGGCAAATCCACAGAGACTACCCTGAACAAATTTACAGAGAATGCAGATCAATCATTGTGGTATAAAAAAATAGTGGTGTCATTCTTTACGGAATTAGGAGCTTTTAACAAAACCTTATATACAAGCCATTGAAACGGCAGTGCAAAGAAAGAGCATAGACCTTCTGACTAGTGGATATTATCAATGCTTTGAAGTGAGTGTAGCAGAGTGTGGTAAAGTTGGAGCTGGAAAAATGGCTTGAGAAAGAAAAACTCAAGCACTGGACAAAAGCACCAGGAGGCAAGCTAAGAGATCTATAAATCTTCAAAAAGGTAGGTGAAGGTATTCCTCTCTCTCAGCAGTTTTGAAAAAAATATAGGCCTCTATATTTCTATTACTAAAGCAAAGACAGATATGCCGACTCCTTCAAGAGAAACTTGAGACAGTAAGGCCATTCTTACACCAAGAAAGCTGCATGAAGAGGTCTAAAGTGCTTAGTTTTGAATTAAAAGCACAATTTTCGTATGGACTTAATCAAAGGGGTTCCAACTTGTTTGGTTTATATTTCATTCGCATGTTGTTAAAGTAAAATAATTAAATTGAATGCATACAAATTATAGAGTAGACGACACCACCCAGCAAAAGAAGGGTCAACAAAGGCAATAGCAACCACTTGAGGATGCGCCAGTTGGTGAAGTTCATCGCATCTCGGTGCCTTGCAGGTTCTGCCTTATACAGCGCCTCTGTTCTTGCTCTCTGTAATCAAAGGAAAAACATTTATTTAGCTTTACTTATTTGCGTTTGTTCATTCTTTATTGTTATTTTCCCCACGGGAAAGTAATTCATTATGAAAACCAAAACTACACGATGAACAACAAAGGGTGTTTTGGGACTTTGGCAATTTCCCAAGGCGGGGATTATACACTATGTCATGACATATTTGCTACACGGGTTTGCATAATCGTTGACTTCCTGTCGGCTTTGTTTCGCCGTTTTATAAGAGCCCGACCGTTTTCCCAACATGTAATGTCATTCTCCCGAATTACGGAGAATTTAACAATAACCTAATTTATTTCCACGCCGGTTTTCCCGAGAACTTCCGGTTGTATTTGTTAATTGTGCACAAAGTACAAATGAGGTGAACGGAAAATTGTCCACAGTTTTCTAAATCCGTGACAAAAGCAATGACCTCTTGGGAAGTCAGTTTCTTTCTGTTAGTTCTTCTTCTATAATTTGTTTAATCGACCGATGAAATAAGTGTATAATCCTTCTGGTCGAAATGTCTTAACCTCAGGGCTTCACATAAATAAAATAAATAATCCTCGAATTCCTTTTTGACTTAACTTCAGGGCTTCACAGACATAAATTGGGTAATCCTTCTGGTCGAACTCCTTCTTGATTTAACTTCAAGGCTTCACAGGAATAGAGTGGATACTTCTGCTGATGGAACTTCTTTTCTTAACTTCAAGGATTCACAGAATTAGAGAGGCTAATTTTTCTGGTCGAACTCCTTCTTGACTTAACTTCAGGGCTTCTCAGAAAAGAGTGGATAATTCTGCTGATGGAACAACTTGACAAAACTTCAAGGCTTCACAGGAATAGAAAAGCTAATCTTTCTGTTCGAACTCCTTCTTTACTTAATTTTAGGGCTTCACAGACATAAATTGGGTAAATCGCACGATAAAACTTCTTCCAGACATAACTTGATCGCTTCACGGAAGTAGAGTGAAAAATTTTGCTGATTGAATTTCTTGACTTAACCTCAAGCCTTCACAGAAATAGAGTAGATAATCTTTCTGGTCGAACTTCTTGACTTAACCTCAGGGCTTCACAGATATAAACTGGATAATCCTACCGGTGGAACTTCTTGGCTTAACTTCAAGGCTTCACAGAAATAGTGTGGATATTTTTGCTGATGGAACTTCTTGTCTTAACTTCAAGGATTCCCAGAATTAGAGAGGCTAATCTTTCTGGTCGAACTTCTTCTTGACTTAATTTTAGTGCTTCACAGACATAAATTGGGTAATTCTCATGATAAAACTCCTTCCAGACATAACTTGACCGCTTCAAGGAAGTAGAGTGAAAAAATTCTGCTGATTGAACTTCTTAATTTAACTTCAAGGCTTCACAGAAATAGAGAGGATAATTCTGCTGATCGAACGTCTTGACTTAACTTCAGGGCTTCACAGAAATAGAGTGAATAATTCTTCTGAATGAACTTCTTGACTTAACTTCCAGGCTTCACAGAAATAGAGTGGATAATCTTTCTGGTCGAACTTCTTCTTGACTTAACTTCAGGGCTTCACAGACATAAAGTGAAAAATCCTATTGGTCCAACTCTTTTTTGACTTAACTTTAAATCTTAAGACGGGTTAAGCACTAATCACTTCATTCTCGGACTTGTATCAATCTCGTTAGAACTGATCTCTTGTGCCAAGGACGTTAAAACGACGAAGATTTTTTAAACTATTCTTTTCTACTAAACGAAGTTGGTAGGACATAACGAAAAGGTTTAACACGCACTCTTTAAAATCTAGAAAATCAGTTAACAGGTGCCCTTCAGCATCGTTACCCACCTTACAATGTGACAATTACAACTTAATTACAATGTGAAACCATCAACCTGTACCTTATCTTAAGGTAAATGATCACGGACACGTCTACTATCTTCTAACTCCTCAGATACAACCACTTAATTATCTTTGCCCCAGTTAAAGTATCAGCCGTTGTATGTCTGATCGTTTGTCGGTTTTGCTTTTACTTTTTTACGTTTTGTACGGTTTGGAGATCTTCAGCAAGTCAGAGTCTCTTCAACAAGTGTGGTTAAGGTGAACACGGAAAATCTCAAGGAAAAAAGTGTTATTTTATAATAATTCGGAAGATTCGGACGATTGGAAAGTTGAGTGGCAAGCCGAATTGCAATAAACAAATCTAAAAACTAGTTCTAAGAGTTGATTGAAGCTACCAAGGAAATCATTAAAAGAGAAATTTACCAACAAAAAAATTATGCAACTTTTAAAACCTACTGAGAAAATTGAACGGTTGAAACTGTGGGAAATTTTTCAGGATTGAAATTGAATGAAAGTAGTCTTCGATTAAGGTTTTATATTAATAGACAACGCAAAAAAGGAAATTTCAATATCTGAATGAAAACAGTCGATGAAGTAGAAATAATAATGGTGTCATTTTAGTCTTTTTAACGATTTTCTAGTTTCTTTAGCCCATAGGAATCTTGGCAGTACGTATTTAAGGTTAAACATTTAAAATTAAAGTCCTGTTTATGATATGTAAAGATGAAGTTTGTAAAGAATGGAAATTATGAAGAACATATAAATCCTTGTTAAATCTTCAATGGTTATTTCATAAATTTTTTTTTAGAGTTTTCATGTTATAATTTTGTAATCAACAAAACGTTTCACTCCCCATGGTGTGTTTTAAATTTATAGTGTTTCGGTTCTTTTTCACAAAGGCATTATTTTCTTCTAATTATTTATCTTGTTTTTTATTTCTAGCCCCGTCCAATGATGATATTTCATTTTGATTATTTCTTTCGTTTTTTGTAAATAGTAAATAAGAAGATAAAACATTATCTGATGCTTTAGTTTACGATCTATCAAAATTTGATGACAAATAATTTATTCAAAGAACTGTTTACAAATGGTACTGCTTAACTGAATTAACAAAACAAACCTATCATTTTTGACCTATGGACGATAATATTTACTATTTACTTCTATGGGATTTTTATAGAATTTGTACTGATTATTTCGGTGTAGTGGTGATATTGTTTAACCCGATTGCACTCTACTTTTGAGCAGAACTGATTTGTTCGACCGATTAGAGAAAGTTAAATTTTCACGGACATTTTTATACTCAACTCGCATCTAGATTGAAGACCAGTTTCGGTTTGGCGGGTTGAGTTTTACTAAAAGATCTAGCCCATTTTTAAAAAAATACGACGTGAGATTTTGAAAATTATTTCTTCATGAAACTTTTCTTTAAAATATGTTTCTTTGTATTGTAATTCTTCAACTTTTGTTCAAAAACACTTATCAATATTGATTAGTTGTTTGACCTGATGTGTTTTAAATAAAAACAACCTAATGCAAAGTTTCATAGTTTTTTCTGACCTGTTGTGGCCTGATCGACGATGTTAGGCTGTCGATAAATATTTAGTCTTTGGGAGTAGTTAAAAGTGTTCAACTTATTGATGGGCGGGGCTAAATACAACAAAATTACTTCTTGGGCGTGGTCTGATCTAAACCATTTTACGTGTTGTAGTTTTTTCTGATAATTTTTTATTGCCTGATTATAGTGTTTTATGGCATACAGTTGATCACCAATAAAAATCAAGTGGACGTTAATAATCTGTTAATTTAACAGGCTGGGTGTGGCTAAATGATCTAAACCTATTGACGGGCGTGGCTAAACACGGCAAAATTACAAGTAGGGCGTGGTCTATTTCTTAACTCTAATGTTTTAATGTTTTTTCTGGTGAACTGTAGTGGCCAGATCACAGTATTTTTTGTCGTTCGGTTGAACGATTACCAGTCACGTCAAAATGAAAAGAATAACCCAACAGATGGGCGTGGCTAAATACGCTAAAATTGCAGAATGGTCATTGCTTAATATTTGGTCGTTTCCGATCATTTTGGTCTTTCTATCTTCGCCGGTAGAAATTTCGCAATTGTTAAATGAGTTAATCTTCTTACAGGCGTTGCTAAATGAGATAACCTTTAACGGGGGCGTGGCTAAATGCGGTGAAATTACCGATTGGGCGTGGCCTGAATATGAAAGTTTAAAGTTATAACAATGTTTTGCACGAAAGGTTGAAAACACAAATCAGTGAAACATTTCGAAAAGCAAATGATGGTTGTAAAGTCCGAACATCTAATGGCAAGAACGTTTTTAAGGAAAGTAAAGAAAGATTTTTGATTTTTTTTACTCTTTCACTATAAATATTCAAACAATACATATATTCGTTTATGCAAATTTAACATTTAAAGTTCATGATGTACTGTTAACCAGCATATCTTTGTTGTTTATGTTAAATTCAAGCAAATAAGTCAATATGCGGCATAAATCAAAGTAAAAAGGTTGCGAACAAAGTTTGAAATATTATTCAATTTTTGTTGCGTAATCAAAGGCTTTATGGATCCGTCGATAATCTGCTTTAGGGATAGATTTTGTCGTAGATTTTTGCCTGTTTTCCCATCGATTCGGCATATATTACGACGTCGTGAAATCGGCCACGGTCTGAAATTGGACAGTTGAATTATTCAGATATTTCACACGTGGAAAATGGGTATTTTTCTCCATTCTGACCTAGTGCGACGAGAAACACCTTGCTCAAACAAAAAAACCGCCTGACCCATTTTATAATCTTTGGAAACCTTCGGTGGGATAGCAAACAAGTTTTTAATCATTCCTATCAAATTGGGTTTGGGAAACGGGGTCTCCTAGGCGCGGAATCTGTCAATGTATTATGTCAAATATAAGTTTTTTTAAAATAGTAAATTATGTTAGTTTGTAAGACAAGTTTCCTAATTTAGAATCAGTCAAATTTAAAAAATAGGCTTTCCGGTATGCTATTTAATCTACTAATTAGGGATTGACCTGATTTACTAATTTATTACTGTTGAATACAATAAAAATATTATTCACTCGGGGGAAAAAAAAACGATAAAACAAAATAATTCGTTTTCCCATCATTGTCAAAAACCAGGTTGTAAAATTTGCAAAGTTTTTTGCAGGAA